CTTTCTGTCACTTATACGCTTTCTTCTCCCAGGGCTCCCATGATGCGTATATTGATTTGCTTATGATATCCCATGTGTTCCTCAGGCTTTCTTCACTCTCTTTCATTCTTTTTTCTGATCTAGTCTTCTGACTGGATAATTTCAAGTGACCTGTCCTCAAGTTCACTGGTTCTTTCTTCAGCTTAATTGAACCTAATGTTAAATCCTCCTACTGAATTTTTTTACTTCAATCATTGTATTCTTTAGTTCCAAATTTTCTGTTTTGTTCTTTTTAATATTTTCTTTTTTGCTGATATTTTCGTTTTGTTTATGCATCATTTTCTTGATCACATAGAGTATCTTTATAATGGTTGTTTTTAATTCTCTGTCAGGTAATTTATATGCCTGCATTTCTTTAAGATTAATTTGATTAATTTTATTCTTTTGGGCCATGTTTCCCTGTTTCTTCATGTATCCCATAACTTTGTTTTAGGGTCAGCACACTTGACATAAAAGCCACATCTCATAGCCGTTATGGACTGGCCCTTTCTGCAGAAGACTTCTAATCAGCTTGACTGGAGATTCTGGGGGTCTCTGGAACCTTTTCTTAGAGGGAAGGGAATGCAAATTCTTTGAGGCTGTGTGTGCAATTTCTCAATTAGGTAGAGTTGGCTGATTTCTTTTTCCAGGGACTCATAATTTTTTGCTCTACCTGGGGTCATTCTGTGGTACTGCAAGTTCTCTGGTTTTATAATGTGTGTTTATGTCCAGTTGTGTCTAGTTCTTCATGACCCCATGGACTATAGCCTATCAGGCCCTCTGTCCGTGGAATTTCCCAGGCAAGAATACTGGAGTGGATTGCCATTTTCTGTTCCAGGGGATCTTCTTGACTCATGGATTGAACCTGCATCTCCTGCAGGTCCTGTATTGGCAGGCAGATTCTTTACCACTGTACCACCAAGGAAGTCCTGGTTTTACAGTAGCAAGCTGCTATGATGTCCCTTGTTCTCAGAGGCCTCCAGATTTCTGCTGTGTGCTGACTCCCCATCAGCATCCTAAGTTAGGTGAGACGGATACCAGCCCCTTCTGCACTCTTTTAAAGATCTTGAACACCAGACATATGCTCCTTTCACTCCTTCCAGAGGGAGAAGCCTCAGATTGTTCTCCTGCCCCTAACTGCGTTGAGCCATCCTAGTCCCTGAAAGCCAGTTTACCCATTCTTCTTTGTTCTCAGTGGCACCAGGGCATCCAAACTGCAATGGTTCTGTCAGTGCTCCGAATTAGACAAGACAGATACCAGCTCCTCAATAGCCCTCTGAGGAGCTGGAATGTCAGACACAGCCTCTACTTTTCTCCTCACCCCCAGTGTAAAAAGTGCGAGCCGGGTTATTCTTTACCACTGCTGAACTGTGCCAGCTTAGAAAGGGGCTGAGGCAATCAAAGTGAAACTGCTCTTCTTGTCCATTTGAATGTGGCTTTTCACAGCTTTGCACTCTGGTACTGCAACATCTTGACTAGATTCTAGAATTCTCATTACAGTATTTTGGTCCATATATTGTTAAATTGCAGTTTCTGTGGGGGAAAGAGAGTGGAATTTACCATTCATCCATCTTGTGATTCACTCCCTCTGTGATTTACTCTTGGGCTCTACGACATTTGTCATTCTGAGAGTCCTTTCACTGCTTTCTGAGGTTGGAAGCCCACTTTCCTTCATCCCATATCTTTGTTTACTTACAAGTTATGCTTTCTAATTAATGACAAATGCACAAAAAACTAAAATCTGCAAAGAATAAACTTTTTTTTTTAATTCCTCCTTACATTTGATTTGATGATTTCACTTAATAGAGACCTCTAGGTCCAAAGTAATTTTGCCTTACAGTGTTGATGATATTGCTTAGAGAAAAGACTGAGGCTATGCTTGGAGTGGTATGTATGTAAGTCTCTAGCAGTTGGGGATGGATTTCTGGTATCAACTATTGTATAGTCGAACTTTAAACAAGTTCTCATGTTTTTGGCTCCAGCTGTTTACTCTGTTTCTTTTTTGATTATAAACTCTTCTCTTAGTCAAGACCCTCCTTGATATTCTACTCATCAGGCCAGCTCCCTCTTTTACTGCAGTTGGAAGAGTATATATATATACACACACACATATATATATCCTATGTAAATATATATCCTATATAAATTCATAAATTTTATTTATATATATATATAAATACATATATCTGTTCATATATAAATATACACATATATTTATGAGTGAGTGAGTAAGAGGACTACCTAGGTTTAACTTCTGGCTCTGGAGTTTCTAGCTGTGTAAACTTGGCCATGTCATTTGTGTCTCAATATATTCACGTGACAACCTAGTTTAAGGATTAAATGTAAAGGTACTATTATTGTTAGTATTTCTCTTCTGTTCTGCTTTTTCAAAATTCCTGTTTTCATATGACTTTCATATTCCATTTGTTTATAAATTTTCTTTTTGATGTTTCTCCTCATGTCTCTTTTTATATTATTCCTTAGCTTAGTGAATAATAACAAATAATAACAAAATAAACATGTGTGTTCAGTCCTCTTTTTTAAGCTAGAAGCCAAATCTGATTTTTAATTTTAGAAAATATTCAGTGATTTAATGGTTTTAATGTAATTTTAATAATTCAATCTATTTTTTAATGAAATTATTCTTTCTATTCATATATTATCTTTACTATATTTGCCTAGTCATCTAGTGACTCAGAGTCAAAGTTGAATGGGAATTTTCTTTCTTTTGATAGATTCTTAGTAATAGTAGTGAAACTATTTTAATGCTGGTCAAAATTTAATTCTCTTTAAAGAACTGGAAACAAAAGAAAAAAGAATATCAGCATGTTAGAGAAAAGCCTATTGTTCTTTTTTGTATTACATCAATTGAAAGTTAACAGTTTTATTACATCTTATGAAAAGCCAAGAAATGAACCAGAAAATAATGATGATAATCATGATGATGATAGGAGCAACAATTACAAAATGCATAAATGTATACATGCCATTTAATATATATCATGTTACATATTCGTCATAATAGCTCTGCTAGGTAGGCATTTCAGTCTTCATTTTACTTTCTGAGGAAACCAAGGTTCAGAGTACTCAAATAACTTTCCCATGCCACACAACCAGTAAAGCACAAAGTTTTCTGACACAAGGCCTGTGTTCTGTGATTATGTACAACTAATCTGGGACTTGGGAACCTATAGATTTGAACAAATTGCATTGATGAATGACTATTACTGCCTCTCAAAGACCTTTGTTTCCCTTTTGCCATGTCTCCTCCCTCTGATTCCAGAGTGGTCACTGCAGCTACTCATAGTGGCTAATACTTCCTTCTCTCATTCCCTTAAAATCCTCATTAACAACTTTCTCATTGGAATCCTCTGTTTTTTAGTGCCCCAGTCCCACCCAGGTGGGAATACATCCTCAGTGAGATTAGGAGCAGTCCTGTCTGTGTTGCTCAAGTCAAGTAGAATTTCCTATAATCATAAACAGTGAGTATGCTTTGAAAAATGAATGAGTTCTGATAAAAAAGAACAAACTAAAATTCCTGATGTAGAAAGAGAGATGTAGCTCAGGCAAAGAAATTTATCAAGTAGAAACTGTAATATATTTTCCTATAGAAATAATGGTAGTTGAGTTCTACAGTTCAACTAATATCACTAAAATAGTAGTCCAACCTATTTTTAAGTTTTGTAGTATATGTGGGTTAACCTGGGAGCCCAAATACGATTTTTATAAAATGCTTCTAGAAGAAAATGCTCTCTGAAGGGCAAATAATAGACAATGAATTTTTTTTAAACAAACCATTTATAAATTGAAGTTAACATCTAAGACCATTAACTTGTTGATAATCTTTGCTTGTGTCTTCTCATTTACTCACACAGTTATAAAGAATGTGATACCAAAAAAAAAAAGAATGTGATATCAAAAGCTGTTTTTTATTACATAGTAGTAACAGTTGCCCAAATCTTTCCTATTCTTTCTGCTCTTACCCTCAGCATTCACCGTGTTACCTTGTATATAGTTGTTGATTTTCAGTCACTCACCTTGTGTCCTACTCTTTGCAACCCCATGGACTGCAGCAGGCCAGGTTTCCTTGTCCTCCACTATCTCTCAGAGTCTGCCCAAACTCACGTCTGTTGAGTCAGAGATGCCATCCAATCATCTCATCCTCTGTTGTCCTTTTCTCCTCCTGCCCTCAATCTTTACCAGTATCAGGGTCTTTTCTAATGAGTCGGCTGTTTGCATCAGGTGGTCAAAGTACTGGAGCTTCAGCTTCAGCATCAGTCCTTCCAATGAATATGGGGATGACAGAGGACTGATTTTCTTTTCTTACTGGTTTGCTCTTATCCTCAGCATTCATCTTGGTACCTTGCATATATAGTAGCTATTGAAAAAATTTTTGCATATTGATCACTTGATTTTTAATAAGACTATCACTCATCACAAAGAAAAGTATATCCTGAGATACACAGGGTTCTTACATCAACTTAGCTTTAATTTTAAATTACATAGCATAATTCTAAGTGATCTCTAGAATATGAAATATATATATAAACATATATGATATGTTTTTACAATATTAATAAAAATAAATTATAAAAATACATTTGGGGTGATGCTTATCATTTTTTCCCACTTGACTTATAATTCAGGGATAAATGGTTGGTGTAAGATTTAGAAAGCATCTTGATTTAAAAGGTCCCCAAAGCGTTGTGTTCTAAACTATACTTTAAAAAATTTCCTCTCACTGGAACAGAGAGGGAATGACTTCTCATTCCAGGAAACATTAAAAGTGCTCTAATGTCCTAGTAATATATCTATCATATGTCTGAAAATAGTGTGTTTTGGAATATTTAGGATGACCTAACTACTTGTCTCTCAGATGGAGGAAGGCTGTGACTGGGGAAGAAGGACCACTTACACATCTATTTTAAGTCTGGTCACAAAAAGATACTTACTTCATAAAAGGCACTGTTTTGTCTTTGCAGATGTAACTGTGTGGAACCACATAATCCTAGTAATAATACATTGAAGGAATGGAAGGAGTCCAATATTTCTGCCTCCGACATAATTTGGGAGAACCTAACTGTTTCGGTAAGTGAAACATGTCTTGAATCTTATTACTATAAGGTCTTTTTTTTACATTTTGAATGAATTATTGCCACTAAAGTAAATTATTTTAAATAAATACTATTACAAAAGTGATAGTTTTATTTCATCCATTCAAATATGCATAAGTTAACTGGGGGTTTTCTTTCATTATTAAACTTTTCCAGTAGTTAGTAGTCCTGAATTACTCTAAAAGCACACATATATGGCATAATGTGACTAGATTAACTGAAAGCACGTTAAATAAGAGTAACGTTGACCTAAATTAAACCATATGACAGACCTAAGTCAGCCTCTGTGTAAAGAATGTTTTTACTTCGCTCCATAATACTGCTCCAGCTGTTCAGAATATGTTGAGGGGGAGGGGATGTTTGCTAGTATTTTGGTATAAATATTGAACTTTTGGGGAAAACCAAAGTCACTTTTCTTAAAATTCCGGCACCTCCCTCAGAAAGAGTTTTCTTACTTCCATTTTCTCCTTATCTTCCTTTCATTTAAGGAAGAGAATGACAGCATATTTTTCATCTATCAAAGTTAAATCTTATACCTTTAAAAATATTTCTATCTTTCCTTTTTTTAATGATATCTTTTTCCCCCCCATAGTTGAATGTCTCTATTTTTCTTAATCTCTTGAATATTTGTACACATCTATTTCCATCTATATTTACATCCTTTACTTCTGGTCAGTCAAATCTCATAATTGGAAAAATGGAAAGATTCTGCTTTTAATAAGTATTAAAATCTGAGTCATTCTAGTTTCTTTTCTATTCTTCTCAGTTACAAACATTACAGTCCAAAGCTTCTGCCAATTTACCTACCTGTATAAGCTCAAATCCCATTATAACCATCAGCATAAAACTGTATGAATTCTAGTTCATTTTGTGAGAAACACATTTTAGTATATGAGCCAGTTAGTGATATGCACAAACCTTTTTTTGTTGTACAATTATAAAACTCTAAACTCGATTCTTATAAGAACACTTGACCTGTTGCCTATTTTTCTTACTTTTCCTCATTAAGTAATTTTTTCAGAATCAAAATTTTAAAAATTCTATCTTTGACCTATATTTTACTACCTTCCTTCTTACCCTAATCATTTGCTCTAAAATGTCTTCACTTTCATTTTTTTTTCTGTTATAGTTAACATTTATTCTGTTGTATTTTTCCTTAGAAAAAAGATTACCAAACTTTTCCCTTTCAGAGAGCTGTTTAAATTGACCAATAAAAGAAATGATGAGCTAAACAAGAAAGAATGCTACGGTTGTTCAGAATTTAGACATGGTTGATCCATTCAGCAATGCCTTTCCATTTATATTCCCCTTTTATAAACTATAAGAATATTATATTTTAAGAGGTCCTTGCTTTTGTCCCTCATCTTGGTGTCCCCTATAATACACTTACCCAATAATTTTATCTTTAAATTATTTAATGTGATAATTTAATCTATGTGTTTTATAGTCTTGAATAATTTAATGTTAAATAATAATGTTTATACCATATAGTAGCAAATCCTGAGTCATAAATTTCTAAGACTCATAGCACAATTGATCTATCTAGGCATGAGTTAATTTTAAATATTAGAAGTTTTAGGGTCAAGCAGAGTATAGTGAAAAATATTTTGCAATCAAACAAAGCAAATCTAATCCTGAGGTTTTTTTTTTTTCTTTGTTAAGTTCTGCACTAGGTGTTAACATTCTGGCAGAAATTTTCGTATTATTTTTCATTAGATAAAAGCACTGTTTGCAATGAATAATTCCTAATCTTGACCGGAAATAGCACTTATCACCAAAGGGTATTCTACATAATGAAAAAAACTTACAATTTTAAGTCATTGAGGGCCATAATGATTTGTCTTAATTGTTATTCTATTTTTTTCTCAGCATAAACATCAGGATCATCAAAAGCATTTTATTAATTTTATTAACAGTGCTAATGGCTGTTATAACTAGTTTTGTAAAAAGTGGTCATGTAATATTTACTCTGTGTATTAGTCACTTGATAATTTTTAATTGAATTGTTACATATCTCATGAACTGCAATTTTTACCTTGCTAACTCAGCAATGGCAAGAACTTTAGCTTTCTTCGATTCTCCCAAATAACTGTATGCATAGTAAGTGTTCAATAAACATTTAATGATTATTTTGAAAAGCAATCTCAAATCACAGATTTACTATTTAATGTATATGTCTTGGTTTATTTTGTTTTCTAGCTTTATTGAGGTATAATTGACAAATAAAAATTATATATTTAAGGTATAAAATATGTTTTGATGAATGTATACAAGGTGAATGATTACCACAATCAAGCTAATTAACACACATATCACCTCACATAAGCAACCTTTTTACTTGGTGAAAACAATTAAGATCTACTCTCCCAGCAAATTTCAATTAGTTAATGCAATATTATTAACCATAGTCACTGTATTATACATTAGCACTTCATAATTTATTTATCCAGCATAACTGAAACTTTGTTCCCTTCAACCAATATTTCCCCATTTTTCCTCTCTCCCTAGTCATTGGTAACTATCATTCTGCTCTCTGCTTCTGAGTTTGACTTTAGCTTCCACATGGAAGATAAATCACAGTATTTGTCTTTCTGTGTCTGACTTGTTTCAATTAGCATGTCTTACAGGTTCATTCATGTTGTTGCAGTGACAATGTTTCCTTCCTTTTTAAGGGTGAATGATATTCTACTGTATATTTATACTACAATTTCTCAATTAATTCATCCATTGTCAGGCATATAGGTTATTTCCATATCTTGACTATTGTGAATAATGCTTAATTCAAGTGTTTTATAGCAAGCTAGAGTACTTAGGTTTCTATGTTTATATATATATTTTAGCAGTATATCAAAATCTGTCATTATAAGGAATTCCTAGACAAGGTTTAAAATATTCACAGTCAATTAACTAGCAATTGGTTAAGAATTGTTTCAATGCCAGAATTACATATTTAGCTTATACATAAATAAGGGGCAGGACACTAATGCCAACTCTAATTTCTTATTTTATCAAACTTAATTTTTACCAACTTATAAAATTGTTGAAGCTTAAAACGTGTTGAAGAATAATTAGTAGAAATGAGTTTGTCAACAAGCATTTTTTTCATTTTTGTAAGTGAAACCATATGTGAGACTCAAAATAAGAGAACAGGATTTAGATTTAGTTTTCTCTTCCAAATCTCAGGACTTCGTGTGTGTGTGTGTGTGTGTGTGTGTGTGTTTAAGGGTACAGTTGGTATAAACCAGAAAATAAATGTAGAATATAGTAGCTCACAATTTTTCCTTTTTAAATAACATACTGCCCCACTAAAAGAAAGAAAAATATACTTTTCAAATTTGCTTTGAATTAAAGTGACTAGGCAGGCTAATGGTAATGTATTATAACTTATAAGACACTTAAATAATTCTTTAAATGGTTTCTATATTATTAAGAATTGAGAGCAAGACTCAACCAAGTCCAAGACTTGGAAGACTTTTATATCTGCACAAAAGATTGAAGATGATCACAAATATATAGGTAATGTGTTTACAAAGGAACTTTTAGCTCCTCTTTGTATTTATCCATTCTTCTTTTTTAAAATTTACTTTTAATTGGAGGATAATTGCTTTACAGTGTTGTGTTAGTTTCTGCCATACAACAGCATGAATCAGCCATAAGTACACATCTACCTGCTCCGTCTTGAACGTCTCCCCCAATATCCCACCTCTCTAGGTGATCACAGAGCCACAGGTTGAGCTCCCTGTGTTATATAGCAACTTCCCACTAGCTGTCTATTTTATACACGGCAATGTATATATTTCAGCGCTCCTCTCAATTCATCCCACCCTCTCCCTCACCCATTTACAGGTCCAGTCTCTATGTCTGGGCCTCTATTCTTGCCCTGCAGATAGCTTATCGGTATCATTTTCCTAGATTCCATATATATATATATATTCCATTACTTTGCTTAGTAATCGCTTTACTAGTAAAGCTGAACAAGGGGCAAGAGAAGGGACTAAAAATTTCAAGGATTTGTTTTTGCTACTTTATCCATTTTAACAGAGTTTTGAGAGAAGGAAAAACTAAAGCTATAATTAAGGCTTGGGGATTTTTTTTTTCCAATTAGCAAAGTTTCTGTGCTCTCCATTAACTTAAAATGGTTAATTGGAATTCAACTTTAGCTAGCAAAAAATGTAGCATTTGCAGTTAGATTAGAAAAAGGAACAGAATTGTTTTAGATAATTATAAAGTATACAAACAGTATTTCTCAAAAATCCTAGCCTTACAGGTAAGTGTCCCAAGTGATTTTACTAGTTTGTTTTTGGATAACAAGGTAGCAGTCTGTGACTTAGTCTAGAATCTTTCAAAGGTATTTGTTTCCTGCTGTACTCCAGGGCTTGAGGCTTTATTCATTGGACAGTCTCTGCTGGTGATCAATCTGGCAGTCCATATTTTCTCCTAAGATCTTTCTGTACCATGGTACAATTCAATTCCTAATTCATGTTCAGAATATCTCAAGTACCAGCAAGGTCACTGGATCACTTAAAGCATTCTTTTCTGTTTTGAAATAAAAAATTAAAATCGAATGTTCTAATCTTTAAAATGAAATGGTAAAACCCAATCTAATATGAGCTTTAAAAAAAAGTCTTAATTTCAAAATAATATTGTTTAAAATGCTTTTTTTTCCTCCAAGAAAGAAAAATTTTTTGACTTTGCTGCCACCTCATGGCTAAAACAGCAATTAGAAATGATTCTTCAGGGGCTTATAAAATATATACCAGAAGGAGAAAAAAAAAAGATCATGAAGTCATTTGTTGTTGTTGTTGTTGTTATGTAGTAGCTCAATTGTGTCTGACTCTTTGTGACTCCATGGAGTGTAGTTTGCCAGGCTCCTCTGTCCATGGAATTCTCCAGGCAAGAATCCTGGAGTGGTTTGCCATTTCCTTCTCCAGGGGATCTGCCCTGCCCGGGGATGGAACCGGGGTCTCTTGCATTGGCAGGTGGGTTCTTTACCCCTGAATCACCTGGGAAGCTCCTGAAGAAGTCATAGTAAATATGAACTTTGACCTCCCTAACCCTAACCCTAACCCTAATCCTAACCCTGCTCCTATAGTACCTTTTCTCTTTCGTTCCATAATTTAAGTTTGAGCCCCATCTGTGACTTTTGGTTTCACTTCAGTAATAATATATTGTATTTTTTTGTTGTTGCTTTTCTCACCTTTCTTGGGAGTTTACTGCGACTGCTAAGTCACTTCAGTCGTGTCCGACTCTGGGCGACCCCACCCCTGGGATTCTCCAGGCAAGAACACTGGAGTGGGTTGCCATTTCCTTCTCCAGTGCATAAAAGTGAAAAGTGAAAGTGAAGTCGCTCAGTCGTGTCCGATTCTACAGAATCACTGTTCTCCTTTAATACGCAATAATATTCCCACCAAAGGCATCATGTTTGTATCACAACCCTGCTGCCGCCCAGCAGTGGTGAGGCCATAACAAATTACTTACCTTCCCTACACCATAGTTTCCTCAGATACAAAATGGAAATAATAGCAACTACCTATTTTGTAGGGTTGATGTGATAATTAAGATGATGATTGGTGAATCAATTAGTTTTACAGATTTAATTTTTAAAAGGCAAAAATTGTAGAAATGGTTCATATTGCTCACTACCTATCCAAACATGAGCCTTAATTAAAAACCTTGGCAAGTCAACTGCAAGTGATCTTAAGACATTAGTTTTCTGAAAGAATTATGTCCACCTTTTTTTCTTGATAGCTCTGTTTGTTTTACTTCCTCCGGCAGGAATGCAAGTCTCTGAACGGGGAGTATGTTGGACGAGCCTGCGGCCATGAGCACCCCTACGTTCCGGACGTTCTGTTTTGGTCAGTGATCCTCTTCTTTTCCACAGTCACTCTGTCAGCCACGTTGAAGCAGTTCAAGACTAGCCGCTATTTTCCAACCAAGGTACTTAGACTACAGTTTTTCTGATCAAAGTGTGAACCAGCATAAAGCATGTTACGGTGATATGTGTATTTTAGGACCAAAAAAGAGCGATTGCTGTCATTAAAGGGGCCACTGAAAGGTTTTTGTGTGATTGAGCTGCCATATTAGGAGTGAGGTGTGGTGAGGTGGGGAAGAGGAAGCATTTTGTGAGACTGGTGCTGGGAGTGCAAATTGCCTCTAGGCTTATCTCCTAACTTCAAATCCCAGAGATAGACTCCCACTTCCCGACTTTCATTTTTGGAACTCAGAAGCACACACTGCATTACTGATTGTCACTTTCTTGCCCAGTGAACAGTGGGAACTATTCCAGCCTGACAGACACCTCACAGGAGCCACTGTTACGTTTTGTAATTGGGAAAGCCCCTGCAAGACTCATTGGAACACAACCTCTTTTTCATTTTTAAAGTGTCAGTCCCTCCCCCTAACCCAACCACGTTTGCATCTGCATATTTGGAAAAGAAAGTAAACAGAGAAACAGCTTAGTTCAATATTTAACACTGCAAAGTAACACCTATAAGGCCTGACTCAGCCAAAAAAAGGACTAAGGAAGGAAGGGAGGGAGAGAAAAGAAAAGAAAGAAGAGAAACAAGAAAACAAGCTTTTGGGAGATGAGCTAAAAATTGTGATGAAAATTCTACTCTGGGAAAATGTTTTAAGAACTGTTTGAGAGAAGCTTCTGTTTTTGTTACCTCTTCCTTCCCTAAGGTGGAAGATTCATTTCTTTCCCCCCAAAGCTTAATTTGATTAATAAAGAATTGTTTTTTTAAATTAAACTCCTGGATTTTGTGTTTGTGTGTATGACATAAAGGCATCCTAATAAAAGCCAGATCTTACTGAATATTGTTTAAGGATTTTGCTCAAAGAAGCCTTAATAAATGAGAAATAGAATAACTTTTAAATTTACTTACTCTATTGTGAACATTACCTGCTGCTATACTTATATCTCAGATAAATTTAACTATTGTGATACTTCAATAAAAACAGATTTTATTTTATAGTGTTTGGGGTTTATCATATTAAAATGTTACCTGTGTGAGAAAGAGTATTAAAATTTAGCCAGATTCTCTCCATGCAATGTTGTTCTTTATTTTAAATATTCTCTCACTGGAATTCATAATAAACTTAGATTTTTATCAGCGTCACTGGTGTAATAGTACCATGCAAGATTCCCATAATAAACTTAGATTTTAAATAAATACTGAAAACAGCACAATCACCATTGTAGCTATTCCACATGCCTCATTTTGAAAAGGTTGAGTGTATATTTATCTTAATGACAGAGATACATAAATATAAATATGACAGAGTTAACAGTAAAATTATAGTATGCATAAAATGTAATATTATGATATCATGTCATAAAGTGTGATTCTAGATTATGTTCCTGAGTATTCCTCGCTATTTATTGCTCCTTCAAGTGACAAGTGTTTTAATTATCTTTAGGTTCGATCCATAGTGAGCGACTTTGCTGTCTTTCTTACGATTCTATGTATGGTTTTAATTGACTATGCCATTGGGATCCCGTCTCCAAAACTACAAGTACCAAGTGTTTTCAAGGTGAAGTTATCATAACATTTACTATCTCTCCATCTCTGTAGGTCTAATTTTTATTCAGATGATGGTTATAAACCAAGCACTTGGGATTTTCATGAACATATAAAGAATATTGATTAATATAACAGAAAATAAAACACCCACAGCCCAACTACAATTTTGGTCTAATATTAAAAAATAAGTAGTAATCACAGAAATAGAGACCTGGAAACCACTTGAAAAAGGTTCCTGTTAATTCTTCCAGTAAGAATATCTATATTCCTAAAAGATAAGGAAACATTTTGAAATTAAGGGAAATGCAGTTTCTTGATGCAGAATTGCGCAATGGTTAGGTATTGGAAAAAAATAAAATTAGGTCTGGAATAGAGTTTGAACCACATTACAACTATGACCTTGGGCCAGTTACTTAATCTTTGTGAACCTGTTTTCTCGCCTATTAAACAGAGCTGGGGACTTCCTCAAAGAATTGTTAAAATGAATTCATTTGGGACTCATCTCAGGCACCAGCCATGTTTAGAACCCTTCCCTGAAGGAAGCAAAAACCCTTTTACTGTTTTTACTTAGTGGCCTGGATACACATCTAAAATGAGTTATACACAGTTGTCAGTGTGATATTTGTAAAAGTGGATGAATTTGCCAACCCGATAGCACATATGATAATGGTAATATAATTTTATTTAGTATAGATATTGATTGAGAACACAGATTTTTGAGCCAGTCTATCAGAGTTGAAATCTTGTCTTCTCCACTCACTAGCTTTGGGACCTTGAGAAATTTATTCTCTATGCTTATTTCCTTGTCTGTAACTTCTTTAGACCGTTGTGAAGAAAAAAGTGAGTTGAAATATTTAAAACACTTAGAATGGTGCCTGGTACCATGTTTTGTGAATATTAATATTAAATATAATTCACTTAGCATATCGGTTTATAATTAGGGCTTTCCTGATATTGTCTGTAAGACTTCATTTGATTAGATATTTAGTAATCCAGTTAATAACTATGCATTCTTTAATTTTTCACAGCCCACAAGAGATGATCGTGGCTGGTTTGTTACACCTTTAGGTCCAAATCCATGGTGGACAGTAATAGCTGCTATTATTCCTGCTTTACTTTGTACTATTCTAATTTTTATGGACCAACAGATTACAGCTGTCATTATCAACAGAAAAGAACATAAGCTGAAGGTATATTTTAGCATCCATTTTAACATAAATCATTATGATTTAACTGAGATCAATTGATGTTTGTTATGTTTATTATGCTTTGTAGTCTATATTATACTTTGTATTCTATAGTCATTTGCATAGTGAAATATTAAAATTTTCAGATTTATAATTTTATTTTCTATATTCACGGTACTTTGTCTTACAATAAGCTTCAAATTAGTTATTAATTAATTTATTTATGGCACTTAGCTGAGCTCAAAATTCTAAAACCCTACCTCTAGGACTTAAAATTTTAAAATGTTGCCAAAGTTCTAGTGTTCTTTACCATGCTTAACACATTTTAATGAAATGGTCTATTTTGATGAAGTGTAGCTTTACCAGTGTCTTACATGAGATTCTTCTATTTCTATATTTGACTCTAAGTATGTCTATTAGATTGCATTTATTTTGGAACAAATTACATCTTCACATAATTCTCATTTTTCTTTAGTTACTTCTCCATCTAGAATGTCTATGACATCAAAACCAAGTTATAAATGTTATAGTTTTTAAGTGACATCTTTGTTGAATTTTATTGAAGATTTCAATGACTTTCTTTTACAAAGAGAATAAATATAAATATATTTTATTTATTATATTCTGACTCTGCCATTTTGCAACTGTGAATAAAGTTGTTCATTGGTATGAGATATGTAATGTGAGCACTGTCATTTATAGGCATATATTAAGTTAAACTGAATCAATAAAATCATTGAATGGTTAAAAGTACTCTGAATCAAACCTTATAAAAATTAGAACATGCACAATCTTGTTTTTTCTGGTGTCATGGGATAATGGTGAGCTATCGTCATATATTCTTTAAATTCTAGGAGAAATTTTGTCAGAGCAACAGAAATTATACTTTATAGAATTTTTAAGTATGTACCTTAGAAAGATTTTAAAAACCTGATTGAACTATTTGATAGGAAGTAGTAATGACATAAATATAAGAAAGCACAGTTATTTGCAATAAATCCTCCTGAAAAGGAATTTTGTCTATTACATTGGGGAGAATGTGTATCTATTTTAAAATAAAGAGCATTTTTTAATTCTCTTTTTAGAAAGTAACAAGAGCGCTCAAAACCTTTTTTAAAAATGAGTTCATATTAACTTCTTGTTTTTGTCAAAGAAAAATTTTAATTATTAAAGATATATTCTACAAAAATATCACATGAAGTCTTAGGAACTAGACCAGTGATGTGCTAGTACATGTTTAACAACCAGTTCTCTGTGTGTAAAAAAAATACCCTGATTTATAATGTTTGCCGATTTTCATGATGTGAATACTCCCATCATGGCCCTTTTCAAGCTACCAAAGTGACATCAATTGGCAGGAAGAAAATTGAAAATTAAACAATTGGCTCTTATAAGTCTATATGAGCTGGCTCCAAAATACTGCTGAACTACATTATTCAATATTGGAAACTTTGAATCATTTACAGCTCTCAAAATAAGAAATTCAGATTTCCAAGTTAGTAGTCAACTTATTTAATATCAATCATTCAAAAATATTTAATAGTAAAATATCAGCCTTCTGCAAAAGCAAATACTGCCATAACCTAATTATTAAAGTTACAGAGTTAAATAATCTACAAAGCTAGTGTTAAGAACTTTATGTTGAACATTATTAGTCTGCTATTCTCTAAGAAGTAGGAAAACATTTTTCCTAGACACCAGTTTATTTTTTAAAACTGAAAACATCTCTATTTTTCTCATCTCTATTTTTATTGTATACTGAAATATGTATTTTCATATTGCATATGTTGCATGGTTTTTTTTTTTGCATAAGAGCATTATCATGGTAATCCTCCCATGTCAACAGTATAGGCTGCATTATCATTTTAACGGAAGTTTATATATTTCCTTGTATGACACGTGTTTTTAAATGAACTAAAAGACTCCTGTTTTAGAAAGAAAGCTATATAATCATTATTTCCCTTTCAAAGGAAGTTGGGTATTTTTTGGCTTTTATAACTAGGCAGAAATATTACTGATTTCGCTGAAAAATTCTCTTTGTATATTTGTTTCCCAAATATTAGTGGAATTATATTAAAACAGAATGTAGAAGTAAGTGAAGAATTGCCAAGGGTGATGTTACCTCTTTGGCTGTCTCGTGTGCTTGCTCTTTCCAAATCTCTCTACCTTATAATCACATAATGCTTGCTCCTTGTTCTTCCTGAGTCCATGGTAGCCCCTTGACATTCACAGACTTTCCAAAGTTCCAGATCAATAAATGTACTATGTTATTTCACCTTGATGTATCATGTAGAGTAGCTAAAATATAGTAAAGCATTCTTTAAGTGGTCCTTTCAATTACCTGCTTTTCTAGAATTAAATGTAGAATTAAAGCATTTAATATTTTTGTCACTAAAATGAAGTTGAGACTATATTATTAAACTATATTATATTATTTGTACATACTTTTTATTGTACAAATTGCTGTATAGTCAAAAGATGCCTATTTTACCCCTTAATAGCCTGTATTTAATAGACAGAGCAAATCTGGTTTAATCATAAAGCCAGATAAGGCTTTGCTATGTTGTCACAAGAAGAGTTGGTCTTTTCTTGGCCACTATGAGTCTGAACACCCCCAGTTTCCTTTGGATATGGATATTTTCAAAGTAAGTTCTATCCAGTGAAGACATTTTATCTGCACTGAATACTTTTTTTTTTCTTGACCTCTAACCCAGTGTTCTGTAAACTTCAGTATCACATGGGCTGCTGCTACTGATTTTCCCGTTAACAGCAGCAAAAAATCTCTTTCTCAGAATGTTCTTTATTCAGAGTAACGGTCTGTTCCATAACTGCTCTCCCCACCTGTTGCTTCCCTGAAATGTCTGCAGTCTCTGGCTTTTACTTGAACCACATTGTCACAAAAAGACACCTGTTTCTTGAATATATCCCAAGACCACAAGTTAACCACATTATCAACTTTTGCTGATTTTCTTTTCTTATTTGAAAACCCATTTTTGTCTTGGTTGGGGCATTTCCTGAGACAGTTAGATGAATGACGATTTCTAGATTCTGTATCAAGCACCTTGTAGAGGCCATGTTATATATTTAAGTTGACATCACATAGCCGAGTCACCTAGAAATTTCATCATTTCATTCTTTATCTCTTCCAAACCTATGTTTTAGATCTTTTACCAGTTGCCAAGGTTTTCTACTAGAGGAATTTTTTTATTTTAGAAGACTTTTCTCCTACTATTAAAATTTTTTTTGTCATTTTGTGTTACTACATATGCAATAAAGCTGTGTTGAGCTGAAGAGTCTAGCGCCAGCTCACAGGCTAAGTGACTGACTCCTCCCTCAGAATGAAGAATTTCAAGACCAGCAAAACTCTAACTCATGACATCTCATGATCCTTTAGGTCACTCAAAAGCATCAGAAGTTGAAAATGTAAAAACTTGAGAATGCAAATTACCATTCATATTATATGTAGATGTAAACCCATACTCTCTCTAGCATTTCTCATTTGTTTGTTTCTACCCTAGAGAAGTAGAATAAGCATTGGTTAACTAAATCCCTTTGAAAATCATGAAAAATTTCCACTTTTAAAAGAAGTATATTCTCTAAAAGTGGAAAGCTACTGTCTTTCAGAAAAGAAAGTTTCTGTTAAGATATAACTGTGGGCTTTTCTTCATGTTTCTGTAGACAGTTCAGGCTTCTTTTGACATCATTTTTTAATAAACAGCAATACAATCCCAGATCACTTGAGTAAATGAATGCATTTGCCACATTCATTTGGCACCACATTCTCTTGATGATTATGGCATTTGATATGTTCTTTTTTGCCCTCTTTGTCAGCCTGGTTCTTCATGTCAATCTATAGTCTTTTATGTGGTTAACTTGACAGATGCAGGAAATTGCTGCCAAGCTTTGAAATGAATTTTTTCAGCAGTGGCATCTGGGTATCAGATGGTCCTCTTGGCTGGCCTCTTGTCTTGCTGCATGTTGGTTTTAGTGGGGTCTGGTGTAGCATCACCTGTTGCTATGCTCCCTTTTCTTCCCATATGTCCATTTCCCGTGTTTCATGGATGAATGTGAGAATAGAAGCTCTGATTCTGTCTTTATTTCAGAAAAAAATCTACAGAAATATGTTAGAAGGTACAGAGTTCTCTCTCTGACAAAGGGATACTTCCCTTTGGCTGGCATGCCCATCAGCTAATGATTTGGTTACAAAGACCATGGTTTTAAAGACATTTTAAATGGAAGGCAAGACGAAGGATGATGATTAATTAGTGGAAGTGCCAGAACTGCTTTATTTCCTTTGACTCACATTAAATTAAGCTGCTCCCATTGTTGTACAACATAATCAGGGGGAAATTGTATTTTTGATTTTATTATCTGCGTGGACTTTACAAAGCTAGCTTTCTAAATTTAAAAAGGAAATTATTCTCTTGAAAAGTGTTATTTTGTCTGCTTACTTCAGTCTAGCATCCCACAGTTTACATTTGTATCATATTTTTTTTAACAGCAAGCAAGTCATTTTATTTTTTAAAAACTTTTAATTTTGTTCTGGGGTGTAGCCAACCAATAATGTTGTGATAGTTTCAGGTAAACAGCGAAGGGATTCAACCCTACATTCTCCTCCAAACTACCCTCCCATCCAGACTACCACATCATATTTTTGAAACACTAAGACAAGAACTATAGGATGGCTGTCATGAAGGCCTTCCTTATATTCTTATGCCATAGGGAGCATATACCATGGGAAGACCGGGGTGTCCTGAAAGCATAAGCCTGACTCTCAAGTCCCCATGCCCTCTGCCCTCCTCTCATGTCTATCTCTCAGCTGCTAGCACCTTCTCCATTCTCTCTTAGCAATACCACAGATTTGCAAAACAGCCCAGGGGGCACCATTTACACTGTACTGCCTCAGTGGCAAGGGCTTGAAGATCAGGTCCTTTGCTGGCCTATGTTCTTCACACTGCACAGTTCCTAGGACAACACTTGTCTAACCGGTTAAGACTCTGTCCTTAAATGGGTCTAAAAATTTTTAATTAATTAATTTATTTATTATTTTTAACTGCACTGGGTCTTCGTTGCTGTCCAGGCTTTTCTCTAGTTGTGGTGAGTGGGGGTTACTCTCCAGTTGCAATGAGCAGGCTTCTCATTGTGGTGGCTTCTCTTGTTGCGGAGCACAGGTTCTAGAGCATGTGGACTCAGTAGTTAGGACTTGCAGGCTCTAGAGAACAGGCTCAGTAGTTGTGGCATGTGGGCTTAATTATCCCTCAGCATGTGGGATCTTCCTCGACCAGGGATTGAGCCCATGTCTCCTGCATTGGCAGGAGGATTCTTTTCCACTGAGTCACAGGAAGCCCAATGGGATTAAAATTTGAGTTCTATCCTATGCAACTGCATCTTCCAAGATGTTCTGCAAAAGGACTAGGGGACCATAGTCTGGCTCTGGTGAAGCTTATACTTTCTTGGTCATGCTGACACAAAGGTGTTTCTCTTCCCGCCTTCCAGCTCTCTCCAGAAAATCTCTCCAGGGTTATTAGCAGAAAATCTCTCCAGGTTTATTAGCTGAAAAATTGTCTAGGGTTATATTCACAAGTGAAATTGAGTTTAGGCATTTGGATGAACCTGGAGCATTACCCCAGCTAAGCTGACCCAAGGAAGGGTGCCAATGAATTGGTGACAATGCAGGAGGCAAAAAGGTACTTGTGTGGATATGTCTCATTTTCTTTGCTCTGTCATCTCCTGCACTTTTATAATTTGGCAAGGGTAAGCAGAAAGGGAAGGAGGTACAGCTGATTTTAAGGGTGTTTTTCTTAATAAAATGATGAAATAAAATAGCAAAAAGAAAATACTACCATGACAAATACACATCAAATACTCAGTATGTTTTACCTTCAAGGCTATATTAGCTCTCAGATAAACTAGAAAGTGCTTGCAACTTGGTAAAACTTCCTATAAAAAAGAGTCAAAATTACTCCTCTAGAGTAATTGGTAATTTCTGCTCACATTCATAATAATAAATTTAATAGTTATATTTATTTTAAAATTACACCTAGATTTGATTCTAAAAATGTTTCAGTTACGCATATTTCCTTTTAAAATGGTCAGTCTGTGACTTTTTGATTGCTTATTGTATGTTAATGATTGCACTAAAAAACTAGGATTTACTGAGAAATTATGTGATAAGTTTAAACATATTTTTATTAAGGAACCTTGAAACAAGTAAGTACAAAAGAAGAAAGTTTTTGTTCAACTGCGAAAATATGATAGTCGCTCACATTTACTCGGTACTTACTGATATATCAGACGTTGTTCTAAATGATGTGAAAATCATTTGTAATTCTCAGAACAACTCAGCACTCTGTCTCTTGTCATCATCATCACCATTTTTCAGATAGGGAAACAGAGGCACAAAAGTTTAGATGATTTGTCCAAGATCATTGCTTAAGCCGGCATTTGATCCCTGGCGCCCTGTCTCCAGAACTTATTGTCTAGGCTGAGCTGACTCAACTCTCAACCGTCTTATTACATACACTACCTCTCATGAAGTAGTCATTAAAAGTTGGGGTGTAAAATAGCGTTTGCTAACTCTTAGGCTTTACACTGTCAATTTCCTATGGGTGATAGTGACAAAGCTATTCCCCATCATGTTTGTGTCCTCTAAGGACTTTTAGCCGATCAGTTTCCTCAAGGAAACAGTCCTCAGTTCTCCACACCTCCACATGTCCCATGCATCCATTTTTCCTTATTTACATTTCCTATCTAGTTCAAGAGAGCACTGAAATTTGCAACATCTGGAAGTCAGTGATGGAGTAGAATCATATAGGGGATAGAAAGCACAGAACTATCATTTTAAGGAGAGGCCAAATTTTTCTAGTGCTGCAAGAGATGAGAACAAGATAGTTCTATGCTAGGATAAAAATGAGTTTGTAAAAGGAAGTTTAGGTTCTATGCTATTATTTTTCATGATAAAAGTCAACCATTGAGACAAAAGAGCCCGTAAATGGAAAGGGCTTAACAAGAGCTTATCCTTTAGGAGTTCTTAGCAAAAAGGCCTCCTGGATATTGTCAGGAAGTGGTGTCCAGTCACAACCAGGCCATTTTTAGCTCTACTGGGGACACAGTCATTTGTTTTCTCAGCTTAATGCTTGATATATAATTGATGCTCAATAATTTTTTGTATAAATTAATGATGAAAGACATGAATTACAAATTAACCTGCTCATTCAAGGAACCAAAACAAAGGGACTGTATTTGATAATGACTTTACCTATTCAGTTGAAATAGAATGGAAACTAATGTACTAGTAAGCCAGAATTATATCTATTAAAATATGTAGAAGTCACTATAATCATAATTGCAGTAGGAACATCTGTAGCTTTTCTTTAAGTGGACTGTATATTTTGAGACTATTCTCTTTTTATCTTTAATTTATTTTGCATTTTAGAATCAGTTATATAAGATTCAAAATGGTATCTCTTTTCTGTTCTTTTCTGTTCTGTGGCAGTGGTGTCATTGGTATTTATGCCAAGTTCAGGTAGAATGAGAATTCTGTTTTCTTTCTCTTAACAGAAAGGTTGTGGGTACCATCTGGATCTGTTAATGGTGGCTGTCATGCTGGGTGTGTGCTCCATCATGGGCCTGCCGTGGTTTGTGGCTGCCACTGTCCTTTCCATCACTCATGTCAACAGCCTCAAACTGGAATCTGAATGTTCAGCTCCAGGAGAACAACCTAAATTTCTTGGCATTCGGGAGCAAAGAGTTACTGGGCTTATGATTTTCATTCTCATGGGCTCGTCAGTCTTTATGACTAGTATTCTGAAGGTAATAAAATCTCCCTTTGTGAACTTGAGAGAAGGCAGAATATATGTATTATTGTTTAAGAAATTTCATTTGAGTCTAAGCCATCAATTTGTAAATATTGTATGGCATGTGATGAAAGTGATGAATTTTTTTATCATGTTTATATAGCTTCTTACCAAGAGAAATTATGTGCTATATTTTAGAATCCTTAAGTATGTAAAAAATTTAATCTGGCAAAGTAAATTTGATGTATAAATTATTATTGTAATTTTGAAATGGTAATCAAGTTCTGGGAAACAGTCACTCATCTCTGACTAGTGACCTGAGTTTACTATATGCCTACACAAAAGAAAGTTTCTAATTTCTTGTCAGTGGACAGATATATTTGCAATTAATATTACTTAGTAAAGGGGGAGGTGCAGAGATAAGCAGTGCCATGGTCATGGCCACATATGCAGTTTTGTATTTTAAATGTTCCATAAAACTATTACATGGACATCGTTATTGGATATACTTTTTTTTTCATGTTTAAAATAATTGAATTCATTTTAAAGATTTTAATTCATTTAAAATAACTGAATTAATTTAAATTTCCCTAATGTAGCATAATAATATACTTGATATTTATTGTTTATTATTCATCATATGTGATTTTATTGATTTTGACCTATTAAATATGTCTAATAGACCTATTATTATCCCTTTTTAGATATTGGGAAACTAAGGCACAGAAAGCTTAGGTAACTTACCTGAGGTTATGCAGCTAAAAAGTGCTAGAGCTTGGATTTGAACCCATGGCTTCTGATCTGCCCCATACTTCTAAAATATTTACCTTTCTGTGTTTTTCCTTGGAAGTACAAAATGTCTTGACCACATTGCATTTGAAAATAACCTGTGCCTTTTTTCTAATTGTTATTTTACAGTTTATTCCTATGCCAGTGCTATATGGAGTGTTTCTTTATATGGGTGCTTCATCACTAAAAGGAATTCAGGTAAATTACTTTATAATAATATAGTAAGTAAAGCATATACAGTAAAGCTGTGATGACATATCTTAAGGTCTCAAAGTCACTTGAGAGCTAAGAAAATGTCATTATCTGAGGAGTAGCTTTCAGTCTGCAGTTAAATTTCTTAAAAATTTCTTAAAAATGGTTCATAAAAAAAAATGGTTCATAATCTGAGGGTACTTCTGTTTACTATGAGTATATTGAAACAGTGGGACTTCCCTGGTGGCTGACACAGTACAGAATCTGCCTGCAATGTGGGAGACCCAGGTTCAATCCCTGGATTGGGAAGATCCCCTGGAGACGGGAATGGCTACCCACTCCAGTATTCTGGCCTGGAGAATCCCATGGACAGAGGAGCCTGGTAGGCTACAGTCTATGGGGTCGAAAACAGTCAGACATCTGAGTGACTAACACACACACATGTTAAAACTGTAAAAAGTTTATACTTTATAATCCTTTTAGAAAAGGGTATCAGTATATTTAAAACTATATAAAATATTAAAATGCTTTTAATCTTTGATATTCTGATGATGTATGTGGACATCTACCCATGAAAATAGTAAAAAAAATATGCACAAAGATGTTCCTTGTAACACATATTATCAAAATATTGAAAACAACACAATTACTCAACAACAGTAAAATAATTAAGTAATTTATGGTTAATTTAAATTTGATAAATTAATTTAAAATTGATAAATGCAATGACTATAAAAATAGCACAGTAAAAATGCTTATGACAAAGTGAAATGTGAAGTGAAAAAGTGGGAAAACAAGTTGTAACTACCACAGGTTTAAAAAACTGTGAATATGGGTAGATTAAAAAGGAAGGTGGAGAAAGAAAAACAATTTGTTAAGGTAATAAGATTCTGGGTGATTTTTGCCTTTTATGTTGCTTTTCTGTTATTATTGCAATTGTCTTTATAGAATTATTTTATAAATTAATAAGGAAAACCTTACAGATTGTTTAATTATTGGTTAAATAAATATAGTTTTCACATTAATTTCCCATTGTTACCTAAAAAATTGCTATAAAACTTATTGGCTTAAAACAGTAAACATTTATTATCTCACAGTTTCTGTGGGTCATAAACTTGGGAACATAATAGCTGGGTGATTTTGGCTCAAGATGCCTTATGTGGCTGCTAGCAAGATATGGACAAGAACTGCAGCCATTTGAAGGCTTGGATAGGACTAGAAGGTGTTTAACCAAAATGGCTTATCCCAACGCTGTGGGCAGGAGATGGTAGTGCCTCTCTGGCTATTGGTAAGCGGCCTCTCCATCAGACACTTTAAATGTCATCACGACAGAGATCCTAACCTCCATCCGAATGAGAAATATGAGGCAGAGTGAGGCTGAAGTCACTGTGCCTACCGACAGTCTACAAAGTCACACATGGTCACTTCCACTTTTCTTATATTTGTTAGAAGCCAGTCGTTGTGGCCAGTTTGCACACACGAGGAGGGAAATTTAGACTCCATCGCTTGAAGAGAATAATATCAAAGAATTTGTGGACACATTTAAAAAATACCGCAAGAGGAACTTCCCTAGTGGCACAGTGGATGAGAATCTGCTGCTAGCGCAGGGGACACTGGTTTGATCCCTGGTTCGGGAAGATTCCACATAGCATGGAGCCGCTAAGCCCGTGCGCCACAACCATTGAGCCAGCACTCTAGGGCCCTCAGGTCACAAGTACTGAGCCTGTGTGCTGCAGCTCCTGAAGCCTGTGTGCCCCAGAGCCCACGCCCTGCAACCAAGAGTACCCCAACTTGTAGCAACTGGAGAAAACCTGCATGCAGCGATGAAAACTCAGAGCAGCCCCAAATTAAATGAATAAAATTTTAAAACATTTCTTTTAAGTGCTACAAGATTATTTCAAATTTTTACTGAGGCTGCTGGCAAATTATTCCTGCTTATGTTATAATAGTGGGTTGAATAGTGCCCCTTCCCCACACATCTACCTGGAATCTCAGAATGTGACCTTATTTGGAAATAAAGTCTTTGCAGATGAAACTGGTTATGTATTTCAAGAGGAGCTCACCCCGAATTTAGGATGAACCCTAAATCCAATAACTGGAGTCCTTAGAAGAAGAGGAGAGGACACAGAGAGACGCAGGGAATAAAGCCACATAAAGGTCGAGGCAGAGATTGGAATTTTGCCACCACAAGCCAAGGTATATCAGGAACCAACAGAAGCTGGAAGAGGCAAGAAAATTTTCTTCCCTGCAGCCTTCAGACAGAACAAGGCCCCACCAAAACCTCGATTTTGAAATTCTGGCCTCCACATCTGTGAGAAAATAAATTTCTATTGTTTAAGTCACCGAATTGTAATTTGTTACAGCAGCACTAGGAAACTAATACAGATTTCTATTTAAAATTTCCTTTGAATAGTCTTGCTTTATAACAAGACTATTGTTCCCAAACACTTAAATTTTCTTGAAAAAGAGACAAAGTTTGAGGATTATTTATTGTATAGTTTATTTTTGTTGGCTAAAAGAAAATATAAATTGCCACTTTTTCTCTGACAAGATAGACTCATTAGTTTCAGTGACCTATAAAGGAATAGTCATCTGACTAAATGTTATGAATTCGTCAAATTAACACTTTTTAAGTGGAGCACAGGGTGTTAGATGGTGAGCTGGCGGTTTAATAACAGACCACAAGAGAAACAGAAATAGAAAAGTTTATCACTCATAGGTCTTCACAGGAAGGACCTGGCCTTGAGGGGCCACGTGGGGAGGCCAAGATAAAATGGAGACGGAGAGAGAGAGACAGGATCTGGGGCAGATGCCTTTATTAGGGTCAGTGGGTGGAACACTTTGGGGTTCCTTGGCTAAGGCTGAAACTGGACTCTTCAAATCGGAAGAGCAGGTTTGGTGAGCTTTGCAGAGGTCTTATCTAAGGAGTGCATAAGGAGAAGAGGGCAGGGGAAGTTGTTGATCACAAGGGCCGTTGGGGAAATTATATCAGGAACTTATATTTGCTTGTGAGTCTGCAGGTAGCTAGGGTAATTTAAGGTTGCTGCAGCCTGCTTGATCGGACAAAATGGGTGATGAGGCAGCAGCACCGTGGAAGAGCTTGGCTAAACTCTCAACGCTGAGGGACAGGCAGTGCAGGAACTCTTTTCCTGAATAAATAATTAATCAGCTTCTGACCTTGGGAGAAGGTCATCCTCTTAGGCCCGAGGATGCTATTGGATGTCAGAACCAAGACAGAACTTTAACATGATGTTACTGTAAGATCACTAATCACCCTAAGTCGATAGCATGAGTGTGTTCATCCTGGTACTGGGTAAAAAACTTGGGAGGGGATGTGTTGAATCTTAAGAAATAAAGTAAAATCCTCAGGGTTATAACTGAATGTTTCACTGTTGTAACACTTGAGAAGTGTTATGCATTTAATTTTACTCTAACTACATTTAATTTGTTCATTTATAACTTTATGTATGAAAAATACATTTTAAAAGAATTGGTCTGGCAAGACAGATAGGGAAGAGTGCTGAAGAGGTTTTGTTTATTTGTTTTGCTGGGGTTTTTTTTTGCCTTTGGCAAAAGTTCTATGAGTACTAATTTCATCTGTAAGTGAAAAGTATTTATTATTAGGCCTCAGGCTCACATAAATATAACAGCAGAAGTTTAAGAAACAAAGTAAAATCATTTTGATAGCTTCAACAGATTTTCCCCCCTAATTCCACTCACATGATTTTATTATACCCATGAGCTTTGGAACTAAACAAGAATGTCAAATTTTGGAATTATTTGGGGTGTGAATCTTTCAAATGAAAGTTGAGGAAAATATTATCAAAGACCCATGAGAAAAGTATAATGAGTTCTAAATAGCACAAATGAAACAGCAAATAGGGTCTCACACTAAGAAACAGAGTTAGTGAAAATTTAAGTGAGCCCTGAACTCAGGGAGCTGAAATTCCTATTTGGAATATTGTGGCTAACTGGATGGAGAAATGGGATGCTGATATTAGGACAAGATCAAAGGTACATGCAAAACTCAGAATATATTTATTATGACTATCATTGGGTACTTGAGTAATAATAATTAAAAATATGCTGAATATCAGCAGTTCAAGAAACATGTTAATTTGTTACCCCATTTGTTTGAAGAATCTTGTATATTACCTGTTTGGCAATATTAAGAAATTTATCTAGGTTTCTTATTGTGAAACATGGCAGGAAAAACAGAACATAGTGTTCTTATGAATGCTGTTTCTGTACTCAGATATATAGCCACATTTATATTCACTCCAACACTTTAAGAATCCAAAGTAAAGCAAATGTGCCATTTAAGCAATAACAATGGAATCACCCACACACTGAAGTACAGTTATGCAATAACATAACTTCACACATGGAGAAATGGTAGCTGGGAAAAAAATTAGTTATATAGAAATTGAAACACTCATTTATAGCCCTGAGGATTTTACTTTATTTCTTCCCTATTCCTATCTCCACCATACACTGAGTTTTATTTATTTAATGACATGTAATTTTAAGAGATATTTAGGAGTTAGAGATAAAAAGACCCAGTGAAATATTTATGGACAAGGTAGAGAGGAACAAACCAGGAACTAATTCAGCACTTAGTACTCTGCATAGGTTTTCAATGAATTTTTTGGAAGGTATAAATGAATATGACTAAATAAATGAACAGTGGATGGACTCAACAATGTGTGATTCTGGTTTAGATGCCCAAGGGAAGGTCATGCTGTGCCATAAGACAGGTAAAAAACAGAAAGAAAGATGAGTTTGTGTTGAATTGGGAATATGAGAAGGTGTCAGTAAAACATGATGTATGACACTACACTGACACTTATTTGACTCTATGGGCATTTTTGTTCCTTGGCATATTGGAGTAATTTTGGAAAATTTGATGAAGATTGCTTACAATTTTCTCATATAAATTAGCTAAGGACTAAATCAAATGTTACTCTTAAAACATAGGATATATTCCATGGTATGAAATAGAACTGACAGTGATTGAAACTGTCATTTTCTAAATCATCACTTCTTGTTGGAAACATTGAAAACTGTAAAATTTGGCCTGAGAAAAATTAAACAAAATGATCTGCATGAAACAAAGCTAACATGCAGTACATTTTGTTAATAAGTTAAAGATGATTGAAGATTTCAGATTCTTGTGGACATTTAATCTATAAAATTTGAATTGAGAAAATTAACTTTGGTGGATAAAAATGTCAAAGCTATTAAAATAATATCTTGTCCAAAAATAATGTGCTGTCTTTATGATAAAGTTTAAACAGAAATAACCTTGATCCAGATGAAAATAATGTTAATAAGACACAATTGAAAATATATATAAATGATTTGACAGTGTAGTAGAGGAAACTGATCAATAAATTAAACTGAGTTAAAATTTGCTCTGAAAATACTTTATTAATAGTAATTCATCTAGGTTAAATATTTATGGCCAAGGTATTTGTATTTTTAGAAACAGCACCAAAACCTTTTATGGGAATGAAAGTGGCAAGGTCAAAACAGCAGAGTCAAAATAAGGAGGTACATCCTATGTAGCAGCTGCATGTGGGTCTGGAGCTCAAGACAGTAAGAGCTGCAGTAGAGATTGAGGGCTGAGATTCCAGCAAGTTTGTGAAAGTTGAAACAGTGGGTATGGATGAAATATTCAGTAAAGAAGGGTACAGGAAACCCCAGTACTTAGACAAGTAAAGGAAGAAATTGAGATGTGATGATGAAGATGAGGGTGATGATTATGTTTTGTCTCAAGGCTATACTGTCTGAGGGAGCAATGTTTAGCATTAGCATAGATGTTATTAAACTCTTCTAAATTTTAACCTGTATCCACATTTGAGAAAATATGGGATATTATCAAACTGAAGTTGTGGTATTTCAGAATGTACACTTAACAATCCCATAGTTCTGATGCCCAGATGTCAATGTAAGTGTGATCTAGATGTACCACATATTGGACTATATTATACATTTACTTGTCCTACTTTTATTGTTGTCTGTAAAAAGCAATTTAGTCTGTTTGTCTTTTAGTTCTTTGATAGAATAAAGCTCTTCTGGATGCCTGCAAAACATCAACCAGATTTTATATATCTAAGGCATGTGCCACTTCGAAAAGTCCATCTCTTCACAGTTATTCAGATGAGTTGCCTCGGCCTTTTGTGGATAATAAAAGTTTCACGAGCTGCTATTGTCTTTCCCATGATGGTACGAAACTTCTAAGTCAGCTCTTTTTTCTCTCTCTGATTTTCTGCTCTCACTAAAAATCCATGAACAAATTGGAACAATAGAACATTGTTATTGGAAACCTTTGTATAAACTTTAGCCACTAAAACTAGTAATTAAGATTGGATTTTAGATTATATATGAATTTCAGTGATTCATACTAGTTTTATCTCTATCATTCTGAACATTAGTTTGAATTAATTAAAGTTGGGTGGAAAATGTAAACTTTCACAATTTAACTTTAAAGATATACTAGCAAATCTGAAAAGTTAAGGAGACTTTTAAAATTAAATTTTATTAAATATTTTAGATGAGTTACAAATATTTCAAAGCTAAAGTATTAGAATTTGAATCACTATAAATAATTAAAATATTATCAGCATAGGTATTAAAGTTTTAATATTCTTAAAGTGTTTTTAAGGAAATGGTCAAAAATATAGTTTTTTTCATTGCTTCTTTAAATGTCTCCTATAATGGGTAGAATCATAGCCATTATTCTGGAGATGTAGTAAGAAAAGAAACTGAAGGAAGCAAAAGCTAGACAATATCTATTATATACACATATATAAAAATTTCACTTTAATATCAGACCTAATTGTAGTTGACTTGTTTCTACCAAAAAACAAATAAATCTAAATCTCCAATTTATATTTTTTTCCTTGTTTTAAAATCTTTTATTATTTCCTTCAGGTGTTAGCTTTGGTATTTGTAAGAAAATTGATGGACTTTTTGTTTACCAAGCGGGAACTCAGCTGGTTGGATGATTTAATGCCTGAGAGTAAGAAAAAGAAACTAGAAGATGCTGAAAAAGAAGTAAGTCAGAGGAAAATCAATATCTTATAAAGAAAAAGCAACACGTGCACAGCAACAGCTCTGCAAAATAGATTATTGTGTTTGTCTTTAGTGATTACTAACAAGCACAGGTGGACTACTTGGAAAGATGAGTGTTTAAAACCATAAAACTGAAACTTGAACAGAGAGAGCACATATCTTATATGAGCAAACTCTAGTGAAATATGCAAATACTTGGTACTTCATTATCCTTCAAATTATAAGGTTTATTTTTCTGATTCCTCCCCTTAGGGTGGCAGAAATTTACTAATCCTTAACTGTTTCCAAATTGTGATCAAACAGTGATTGCTTTTTGGTTGAATATGTGAGAAGAAAAAAAAGAGACATTATTACTCTTGGTATTTTCCTAAGGAACAAAATTTTAATCAAGAGATTCTAATTCTAATTAAAAGATAAAATTAGTTATTCATGAAATAGATGAAATGTTTAATAGGAAAGCATGTTGCTCTGATTTGCTTTCATCACTTCTTGGCCTTTGGCTAAGATCAAGTGTGATTTTCTTTCAATGTGCTTTCAGTTCAATTCAATCACTCAGTCGTGTCTGACTCTTTGCAACCCCATGAACTGTAGCACGCCAGGCCTCCCTGTCCATCACCAGCTCCCGGAGTTTACCCATACTCATGTCCATTGAGTCGGTGATGCCAACCAACCATCCTCTGTCGTCAATCCTGCCCTCCTACTCCTCCTGCCCTCAATCTTTCAAAGTGCTTTAGGACTGAGTAAATACTGTTTGAGAAACTTTGAGGATTTTACTACTTTCACAAACTACTGATTTATCCTATTCTGTTTTACATGTTAAAACAATTTGTTTTAAGCTTTATGACATTTAAAATTCATGGATAAATCTGGGTCTATTTTGAAGGCTAGTAGTCATAATATTTTTAAAGTATTGCAAAGAGTATAAATGAAAAAAAAAATGACCAGTACATCATTTAGCAGAATGACTGAGTCCATAAGTTGTAAAACAGAAGAACAAAATTTCTGTATAACTAGAAATGAATTTGAAAGAAAACACTTAGTGAGACTTGTGCATTATTCTCTCCATTTTTTCTTCTACAAAGCAGTCAGTAAATGTATTTAGTTTCCTCTCTGTGGTATATTTTCGCAAGCCATGGGCATATTCCTCTTTCTTCTGGGGAATTTGTTTGCAAACATTCCAGTGGTCTTAGGTTTTACTTAACCATTAGATGAGTCCAGATTAGGCCATGAAGTCTAATGGGATTTTTGCTCAGATGTTTCTACAAACATGTCTACATAATATGTGACTGTCTGGCATTTCTTCACTTTTCCATGGTGAAGAGATTTTCCTATGTGTTGTAGAAGGCATACTTTGAATTATACTTCTAGCCATACTAAGGGAATGGCAAACCACTCCAGTATTCTTGCCTCAAGAACCTCATGAACCAAATGAAAAGTAATACTGATATAATGTTGAAAATGTCAATATAAAGTTATCAAGCTTTTTTATTTTTCTAAGGTTGATATACTCATATTTAAGTATGAGAAAAAAATTTTTTAAAATAGTGCTTTAACTATTTTTCTGTTTTTTCTAAGCTTTAACTACTTTTCTAAGTTTATATTCTCATTTAAGTGTAAGAGATTTTTTAATAGTGCTTTAACTAGGATATTTGGATTATCTGTATATGTTTTTAGGGCTTTATTAAAGGTTTGCTGTCATCCTTAGGTACTGTTCAAGAAAAATGAAACAAAATTTGGTATATAATAAATGTAAATAAAGTGAACGTGAATATAGAAATATTATAGGCTTAAACTATTCATACTTGACATAATTAAAATTTATGTAGGTTGAAAATAATTTCTAAGAAGTTTCAAATTCTAAGGAAGACAACTTTGATTACAAAACTCACTGACCACAAGGTTTTCCTTAGTTTCCCTGATAATGAGAATGTTAAGTATTCTGATGCAGTAACTTGTAAATGTAATTTTGCCTTATTCTCCTGCTTTGATTTCCTGTCAAATGTCTTTATTACTTCTGTAGGAATCAGCTAGCAACAGCCTCAGGCATACAATCATATCTTCTACAGCATTCATATTAGGCCATATCTGTACCATGGAGCATTCTTGCCCTTCTAAAACTTTGTAAAAAGAAAAATACCATGTATATATAATTGTTGTCATCTTTCAGTCACTAAGTTGTGTCCTACTCTTTGCAACTCCATGGACTGCAGCACTCCAGGCTCCTCTGTTCTCCACTGTCTTCTGAAGTTTGCTCAGATTTGTGTTCATCAAATTGATGATGCTATCTAACCATCTCATTCTCTGCCACCCCATTCTCCTTTTGTCTTCAGTATTTCCCAGCATTAGACTCTTCCAGTGAGTTGGCTCTTTGTATCAGATGTCCAAAGTATTGAAGCTTCAGCTTCAGCATCAGTCCTTCTAAAGAATATTCAGGGTTGATTTCCTTTAGGATTGCCTGACTTGATCCCCATGAATAGTATATACAATATATTATGCTTAATATTTCTTCCCTTTTTCCGTTCAAAGAAAATTTCATATTCTTCCTTTATATGTCTGTGAAATAGGAGAAAACAAATTTGACAGTAATCATAAATGTATTAGAATATGCTATTTCCATTGCTGAGAACCATTCACATAGCTGCATATGTATGGTACTCATATGTATGTGTGCCATATGTCCATTTTGGAATTTAGTAACTTCAGATAGGCAGAGATGCTATGGAATGAGCTTCTAATCTTTTTACATTATAGACTCATTATTTACCAATGGTTATTGACTGTTTTCTGATTATGTAGATAAAGAATTTAGAAGTAATTAATATTACTAAATCTCCTAAGTATTTTCTAAAAGGATTCAAAAAGAGATAAAGGATTTTTTGAGGAAAAGTTACAGCTGTATCCTTTAGTTCAGAGTATGAGAAAAAGTAAAGGAAAATTCCCTGCAATACATTGATCAGGTAGGTTTACAGACCTTTAAATTCTCAGTTAGATTAATATGATGCACTTTAATGTTATCCTCATTAATGTGTTACTTATAAAGAAACAAGTAAACCAATAATACAGTCATGAGATAATCCATAGTAGGGCATTAAAATATAGCTCTGACCAGTGCAAAGAAAGATAATTCTACATTTGACGACTGGAGAGAGAAAGTATAATTTAAAGATATTAACTTTCTAACCTGGCAATAGTGTTAAAAGAATATGATCAGTATAGAGAGTAGGAGGATTTAAGAAGGACTATACTGAAACTGAAATTCTGGTTGATTTTCTACTTGGTAACCCAGATTTCCGTATTTCATTTGCTTGAGGCTTATGGACTCCACTGAAGAATGTAGCATCTTATACCAAAGCCCAGTCTTCCAGGAGAAGACTGGAGAAGACATTTACATGAATGTGGTAAATGTACAAGTTCTACCCAAAATGTTGCGTTTCTGCAATTACTTAGATTAATTGAGTAACTCTGATTGTGATCCGGAAAGATGGTAAAGAGCAGAAATGTCTCAGCTCACTGAGATTTGAATTTTAAGTAGACTCACCTCTTGTCCTTTTGATGATAGTTACAAGTTTGTACCTTTATCTTTCAGGGCTTTACTATCAGTAGCCCACTTCTGGTCTTATGGCATTGAGAAAACATTAGTTTGACCTTAAAATTCAATAATGAGTTAAGCAGAATAAATAGCTACACAGGCCAGTCCAAGGTCGCAGAGCTTCTGTTCCAAATTTTCATGTACTTCATGCATATGCATATGCATATGGTTCAGTTTTTAGAAAGAAAGGATTATAATCAGGATAGAAATGAATATTGGAACCCTGACATTTTGCACATTGCTCTGTGTAAAGGGAAGACTGCAGAATCAAATTCTGGATGTCCAAATGTGCTCAGAGTACCAACACACTTTACTTCCTACTTCAGTATTCTCTAGGACGTTGTACACATTTGACAAAAGGGCTGCTGATAAAGCAGAAAGCCCCAGCAGAATGTTTGCTCCTCGGTGAGGGAGGAGGAGGTTAATGTTAGATAAATCCTAGAAATTCAGCTCTGCTCGGTGATCATGATATCGACATCTCTTGGTTTGTGGGAGGTTCACTCCAACATACATGCTATGGGGAAGAAAAGGAGGGGTGCAAGTGGGACTTAACGATCTGTCTGAAGCAGGCTCATGAGCAAGGCCAAGATTATACATATTAGAGAGCATATCTTATGCTAAGAAAGATCAGAATCAGTTGTGGATTTAGGAAGCATGGCCTAATTATTGTACAGGCAAATCTTACTTCTAGTTGAATCTCAGAGCAAGGCAAGCATATTATTCTTCCTCAAGCAGTGGTTTTCAAAGTGTGGTCCTAGGATCTCTGCTGTATCAGCCAACACCTGTCAACTTGTCATAAATCTGAATTCTTGGACCCTACTCCAGACCTACTGAATCAAAACTCTGGATATGGGCCCAGAAATCTGTGTTAACAAGACCTCCAGGTGATTCTCATGAGTTCTGAAATTTGAGGTATGACCTTTCCTAAACCCCCAGACCCTGTATCACCAGAATATATTCTTCTAAATCCAGTTACTGTCAGAATTTTTTTATTTTATAATAATTTTGATAAGTCAATTAGAGAAACTGAATCAAATATGCTGATGAAAAACGTATGTTGCATCCATCTGTTTATATGAATTCTATATGGACTACTCCTCCTCCCAGTTTTTTTCTTTTCAGTTTTCATCGTTCAAGTGAGTAGTTGTATGTATTGGCTCTTCTGCATATTGGAAGTCTTAAGGAATATCTCTTATAATATTTTATGGTTTACAAATAATTATAGGGGTGTGTATGTATGTTTGTGTGTGTGTGTGTGATGTTTGCAACATTATCTATTCTATTAGTAATTGAGGAAGGAGATGCTCAGGCACTTCTTGCATTCTGTTGCATTTCATGTTGTCTTGCATGAAATTAAAGGGGTTGAACTTGATTTCTGAATTCCCTTCCATTTTTTAATATCTAAGAATTCTAAAATTGCTGAATGTTTTCTCTAATACTCTAGACACCTTTGTGAACACTGGCTCTGTGCTGCTATTGTTTGTATTTTGAGCTGTTTGAGGACTCCTCCATAGATATAGACTTTACATGAAAAGTGGATACAGTAACATGCTATCTGTTTCACTAAAGGTAGAGCATTTGTTAGATATCATAATATATGAATTGTATTTTTTACACTATCACAAACCATAATTCGGATTCATGATCTAACTTTATATGTAAATCCTTCATCAAAACACACCACAGTTTACCTCTGATTTTATTTTTTTCTTTTCTGCTTAGCACAGGCCTTTCACCCCAGCCAGGCTAGTTGTTTGTTGTTGTGAAAACATGTCTTATTTATTCCTACCTTTTATTGCCTTGTTTCTTCCTACCTAAATTTCTTCCTTTCTATTACCAAACTGATCAAATGAGACTGGCCCAGATACCACTGCCTCTTGTCCTATTCTTTTTACAGTGGTCCTTCTTATCCTCTAAGAGTAAGGTTTATGACTCTGTTTTCATTGCTGTGTGCCCAGTACCTAGCATACAACCTGTCGCGAAATCATGCTTAATATGTATTTGCTTACTGGATTCATGAGTAGCTCCTGGATGATTCTTTTTATTCACTGTATGCTTAGCCCATGATACATACCCAGTAAATGTTTGAGTGCTATTGAAGAGATTCATTTTTAAGCCTCCATATTGCTGCTTTTTATTGGGTATGGAATCAACTGTCCTTCACTTGTTTAGTATCAGAACAGTGCTTTGGCTATCTGAATGAAAAGTTGGTGTCCAAATCAGACTATGAACATTCCTGTAGTCAAATTGGCAAAGCCCCCTCAAGTGCTCTTTGGTAAACTTTGATCATCATCCTTGTAGAACTCAGCAGATTTTTGATGGACACTGTGTAAATGAAATGCTGAATGGAACTCATTTTAGGATATTTCAGACTAACAAAGTTAAGGATACCCAGTAAGCTTTTTGCTTTCTGTCTCTTTCCTTGTAAGATGGAGATAAAAGAGGTTGTGATTGTCGTGACGGCTAGTGCCTGATTTGACTGCTCCTCCCCAGAAAGTCTCGATTTTTGGCTTCCTCACAGAGCTGCCTGGGATGCAGCCGGCCCTCTATCCCCAAGCTCTGGGGCCCACCCAGCTTCCTTCTGGCACTGAAGGCAGCGGCTGCTCCGCCACCCTTCTCTTCAGATAAGCATGGCTTGGAAATGCTATCTTTAGAGGTGATGAGTTTTTGTTTGGATAGAATTATGACTAGTATAAAGCCCACACATGCTAACAAGCCACAGAGTGCAAAATAATTATTGAAAGTAATTTGAGAGAAAAGTGGAAAATCATCTGAGGAAAAAAACAAAATTGTTCCCAAAGCTTGATCCAATTTTTGCTGTTAGATTGAATCTTGAGCCTTAGTTTTCTGCTGTCAGGTAATCCAGGCATTGATGGCAACGCTGTTCTCTTCAGCCTTTCCTCCTACCCCCAATTTTTACTCTTTATTAAACCTTTATACCTGACTTCTTTGCATTTTATTATGAGTTGGTCAGAAGAGATACTACATACCAATCTTACCTTTCAGTGGACAACCAAGAAAAAGAATTACATTTTGCTTGTATTTGGTTTTACTTAAATATCATTGGGGATTGTTGATTGTTTTCTCTTCATGTCCCTCCATATGCGTCATCAGGGCTTCCCTGATAGCTCAGTTAGTAAAGAATCCACCTGCAATGCAGGAGACCCCAGTTCGATTCCTGGGTCAGGAAGATCTGCTAGAGAAGGGATAGGCTACCCACTCCAGTATTCCTGGGCTTCTCTTGTGGTTCAGCTGGTAAAGAATCTGCCTGCAATGCAGGAAACTTGGGTTTGATCCCTGGGTTGGGAAGATCCCCTGGAGAAGAGAAAAGCTACCCACTCCAGTATTCTGGCCTGGAGAATTCCATGGACTGTAATGTCCATGGGATCACAAAGAGTCGGACAGGACTGAGCAACTTTCACTTTCACATGTGCATTAAGATAACCTTTTCTTAGTAGAAAAAGTAACCTTTTCTTCCTGAAGGGATAAATGTGTTCTACCCATGGCCTCAATGTGGTGTGCATATAAATTAATATGGCCCATGTATCATTTCCATATATAAAACTAATCCATTTGCAAGGTGTGTGTCATTTTAGACTACAGATTAGCTCTGCACAAGTGCTTAAATATATAATTTCAAACCAATGATACTGTCTGCTCACTTTGAATTAGTTCTGATGGTACTTCCACATAACATGGGGAACAGGCATAATACATAAGAAATAATATATATCTGAGAGGTCTTCAATGAAAATTTTTCCTTGAAATGTAACAGAGAATGCGAATAGAATAAATTCCTATAATGCAAAGGGATGACAGGTACATGCCAATAGTATCACAGAGTACAGATATAACACAGGGTTGGTTGGGAGGGCAGCTTCTAAGCAGAGAAATAGCAGATCCCATACAGTCCCCTGACCTCTCCTTTATTACACAGCACGGGTTGGGCAGAGGTATTCTAAGGCCTCAGCAGAGGCTGAGGGCTCAGCAGAGGGAAGCCTGCCTGGTCACACGTTGGATGTGTACGGAGAGCATTTCAAGAGTGAAAACGAGACCTGCCCCCACATTGCCTCATAAATTCATAGGCTAGCTGAAGAGGAGGTAGAAAACACCATTTCTTTAAGTAACAAGAAATATGGCAGTGGTTCTCCAGACTAGGCAACATGCAAGTTGAGGACCCTAGGAATAGTCTTGTGTGCCAGGAAGAATGACATCAACCAAAGCTGATTTAGACCAGGCAAGCTTCTGCTAAGCTACTGAAAGAGGGAAAGCAATGATCCTCCAGGGCCTTCCTTTTTTTCTCTCTTCGGTTTCCATTTGGTCAGGAAAGCGACCTAGCTCTTCATCTTTCCACAACTTAAATTTTCATTTCTGGAGTTAGGGCCAATGATTCTAACAGTTTTAAATGACCCCAAATAGTTCTCTAAACTTGAACATTCCTAGTTGACCCATTTGAAAATAAATGCATGAAATAGGAGCTATAATCTATAGATACTACTTTTAATTTTTGGTACATGGGAAAAGGCTAATGATAACATTATTGTAAATTAAACTAGGATGTTTCAGTGCTACATAAGTTTATCTTCATCCCAAAGATATACTTTTAAAACGTTTGTTGTTCAATTGCTAAGTTGTGTTCGACTCTTTGTGACCCCATGAACTTCAGTGCACCAGGCTTCCCTGTCCCTCACTATCTCTTGGAGTCTGCTGAAACTCATGTCCATTGAGTCTGTGATGCCATCCAACCATCTCATCCTCTGCTGCCTTCTTCTCCTTTTACATTCAATCTTTCCCAGCATCAGGGTCTTTTCTAATGAGTCAGCTCTTCTCACCAGGTGGCCAAGGTATCAGAGCTTCAGCATCAGCATCAGTCCTTCCAATGAATATTCAGGGTTGATTTCCTTTAGGATTAACTGATTTGGTCTCCTTGCTGTCCAGGGGACTCTCAAGAGTTTTTTCCAAAACCACAGTTTGAAGGCATCAATTCTTTGGCACTCAGCCTTCTTTATGGTCCAACTCTCACATCCGTACATGATTACTAGAAAAACTATAACTTTGACTATATGGACTTTATTTATGAATAAATGAATATATGAAACATTTATACCCTTTGGAGAAGGGTGGAATATTGCATTGAAGAAGAAATCTGAGGAATAGAACAAAAGCTTATAATGAGTCTTAAGTGGAAAGTACTCCTGTGTTCTGGTCCATACAGGGAGATATCTTCTGCTGTCTGTTACCAAGTCTCTAGAGCAGTGGTTCTCAAAGTGTGGTCTTTAGACCAGCATAATCAGCATCACCCAAGATGTGTACTTAGGCCCTACTCCAGATCGACTGAATCAGACTCCGGAGATACAGCCCAGTAATCTATATGTTTAATAAATCTTCCAGGTGATTCTGGTGTAAACAAAAGTTTGAGAACCACTACTCTAAATACACCTCTTATTCCTTTCTAATAGACCATTCTGGGAATGTAATTTCAACTTTACAATAATGAAAATGATTACCAATACATTTGTCCTTGTAAAATTTAGATTTTTTGTTTTAATCTGCTTGGAAATTAACCATATTTTACATTGAATGACATGAAGGAGATTGTTGTTAGCATTTAAATTGCTTTGTGGTATGAGACTCTCATTAATTACTTCTGTTCTTGGTAGCTGATGCTTTATTGAAAGGACCTGTGCTAGCATTAATAAATGCAAACAAAGTGGAAGGTTCTGAGGTTAATGAGATAGTGAAATATTAATTTCTGTTTCTTCTTTAATGTAAAATGGAGGCTCATCAGATTCACACTGTATATTTTACATTTGTCTTTCCAGGAAGAACAAAGTATGCTAGCTATGGAAGATGAGGGCACAGTGCAGCTCCCCCTGGAAGGGCACTATAGGTAAGATATAAATGTAAAAACACACCAATTGGAGTAATGTAATATGTTGTTATATACGCTACTTGAGAATTTCATATGTGTGGATTCCTACCAGGGTTTGTTGAAGCTGTGTTAGAGCGGAAAGAACTCAAACTGGGTATTAGATTATCCTGCCCCAGTTCTGCCACTAAAAGCCGTGTGACTGGCTAAGTAGCTTAAAATGAAGTGAGGTGGAAACTGTTCTCTTAGGTCTTGTATTTTATAATGAGCATGAAAGTTCTTTCATATTCTCTTAAAGTAGCACCTGAAGACAGATCAGTATTCAATTCTGGAATAAATGAGTTAGGTATTCACTAAAGCCATCACATGTAAATGTTTGAACTCTGGGAAAAACATAGGATTTACCCCTACTGAAAGACACTTCCAAAGAGATAATCTATTTCCTGAATTGAAGGATTCAGTTATACTAGTAATTTTAGGAAATATTTATGTAACTCTCCAAAATATGCTAATCTTCTTCATGCACAGACACATAGCAAAAAAAGCAAACTCCTCTAAGTTATAATAAAAATGTTTGAAAGTATTTGGCAAAAAATTATATATATATGATCCCAAAGTGCTTAAGGATAATTTAGGGCCATGCCAAGAAAAAAGCATAGAAGGCTTTTGACTAAGGAGGAAATTTTTCATAGTGTTAAAAAAATAGGAGTGGATCTTCAGGGTCTGACTATAAGATAATATTTCCTAGATATAAAAAATAAAATTATCATCTACCACTTAAGAGTGAGCACAAGTACAAGACAGAAGACATTTTTTCCTTTCTCCCTCTTTCTTTTTTTTAAAATAATATTTAAGTTTTAAAATCCTGTTGATTGTTTAGCTGAATCAGCATATTCTCAACTGTATTCTACAGAAATCTGCCTAGTTTCCTGTGATACCCCTCTTAAAAGGATTTTGTGGTTTAATAAATCTGAAAAATGTCCTATACCACATTCCAGTTTAGAGATTCACAATGCACATTGGCATGTTAAAGAATCTAACTAGTATTGGCATTTTTAAAAAAAGTTTAACTTTGTTGTAGCCAGCATTTTTTAAACTCTTTTGCTCACAAGACTCTTTTTCACATAATGTTATGAAAAACTTGTATTCTCCATGACTCTTTTGGAAACTAGTTGGTCTCATTCTTTGAGTTACCAAGGGCTGGATGAATGAGAGGTATTAAGAAACACATGTCCAGATTAGGAAGGAAGGAGCCTGTGAGAACTGTTTTGCCCCAGACTCTCAGTGTTCCTCTTAAAAATTTAATTTGTTGCCCTCTTGTGAATATCCACAATGAGGGGTATGAGAGATCAGTTTAGGATTTCTGTAGAACATGACTTTTTCTATAGCAGAGTATCATTTTTACCTGTGGTAGAAAAGAGTACTGATTTCTCACACAATGAAACTTTCTTTGGCTTGGACTGTGTTTTTATCTGTTGATATTTGGTTGCCTTTCTGGCCCTGGGAATGTTTTAGAGAGTTCTAAATGGACAGTTTTAAATAGTGCAGTTTTAAAATGTAAAAAAAATGCATCCAGCATAGTTACAGGCCCTAATATTACAGGCTCCCCTAGCCACTGAATAAAATATTTGTTGAGTGGATACCAAATGTCAGACTTTGTCTGACATGGAGAAACAGCAGAGGACCAATGTTCAAGAATCTTTGTTCTCATGAAGCTTGCATTCAAGTAGAATAGAGGTGGGGGAGACAGAAAATACATAAATGAACAAGTAATATAATATAGTATTTCAAATGGTGAAAAATGAAACAAGAATACAAAGCAGAAAGAGGGATGAAGTTGCTACGGGGAGATGGAAACAGAAATTTTAAATAAATCAGTCAACAAAGGCCTATCGGAGCAGGTGATGTTTGAACAAAGAATGGAAAGGCTTATTTATATTCGGTTGGCCAAAATGTTTGCTTGGGTTTTTTCTTAAGTTATGGAAAAATGCTAACACACTTTCAGCCAAACCCATACCATATAAAGGAACATGATAGGCAGAGGAAGAGTGAGTACAAGACCCCGAGGGAGCAGCCAGCCTGTAGGGTCCCAGGACAGTCAGGAGGCCGTCACGCTGTAGCCGAGAGGAAAGAGCAGGGGTGTAACACAGAAGGTAAAGTTGTAGGGGAAGCAAGCCCTACAAGCCCTAAAGCCCACGCACTGGGCTTTTGCTTAGAGTGGGTGGGGGCCACTGTGGAGTCTGAGCAGAGGGGTGAAGTGCTATGCTGGGCTATGAATATAGGGGCAAGAGGCCCAGCAGTGAACATGCAGAACCTAAACTCTGTCATTGGGAAAGAATTAGGAAAACTGTACCCCAAACCAGTTTCTGTGTAACTAGAATCTTTCATTTAGATTTTTATTTTTCATAGTTGTGAAATTGTTTAGAGAGAACAATTATTAATAATACTTAATTTTTAATTATCAAAAATACTGTACAGAGGCATAATACTGTCCTATATTTAGTGTCTGTGGTTAGATAACTGCAGTTTCTTATTTAATGTTTATTATCTCATTTTGGGTAAACTCCTATCTAGAGATGATCCATCTGTGATCAATATTTCTGATGAAATGTCAAAGACTGCCTTGTGGAGGAACCTTCTGATTACTGCCGATAACTCAAAAGATAAGGAGTCAAGCTTTCCTTCTAAAAGGTTTGAATTCTAAAATAATGTGAATTTGTACTGAACCCAGTCATTTAATGACATGACTCCATGAGCAAAAGAATAGTATTGGTTTCCATTTAACTTAGTTCTAAAATATTTCAGAAAAGTAAAAAGTGGTTAGAAATCACAAAGATCCCATTTGTAGATATGTTTTCAGTATCTCCCTTTCAAATTAAAAGCTCACTCCAAAACTATGACAGTGGGGAGAAGTAGGGCTATAAATGAGTTTCAATGCAGGACATTTTTGGACATTCACTTTGGCCTACTCTTTGACAGAAGGATTTTAGTTTATTCCTTCCATCATCCACTTCTTAGGACCCCCTTAGATGTCTGACCATATTTTGCATTCTCCTGTTGTTCTTTTTAAAACCCATATGGCACCTGCAATGGTAATTTTGTATTTAGTTTATTTCCAGTCCCTTATTCCAGCCCTGAAAAATCTTCCCTAACCTTTTTACCTCAAAACTTTCAGCTCCAGAAAGTTTTATGCATTTTTCTTCTCTGTATGCAAACATTACATACAACTCCTATAGCTGTGGATGACAGTTTTAAAATGCATGAGGTGGGAAGAATGTGTTCTTAAATACCAAGAGTCATTACAGGATTTCCAAAATGCATTTTCCAGAATTTATAAGTAAGAGTTCAAACCCTCTTGTCTTCTTAGATGTTGATCTGAAGAAAAATCTCTGTGTTATGCTAATATTTCTTCTTATTAAGAGAGAGTGAAGGATTTGGAACAGTGTTTAATTATTAATTTCCTTTATTTTCATGACCTTAAATTAACTTTTTCTACTTAATTTTTTATATTACATTTTTGTCATAAGCTCCCCTTCCTAATCACTCTAGAAGCTGATTTCCCAAAGGTAAGACCCTTTCCCTCAAACCTATTCCTTGGTTGCATTTCCTTTTGTTAAGTGGTGTCTTCTAGAAACCTGGTCAGCCTATGTTTTTTGTGTGTTTTGGGGAGGCAAAAGGTGTGTAGAGTCTTGGGCTTAGGTCCAGTATCAGACTGTTTACAGTGTTCATATAACTACTCAGCTCTTTAAGAGGGTTTGCAACTTGAGTACTTTTTCCCCCCACTTCACTTATATAAATGCATCGTATATAAATCAGTAAACCTCGTAGAACTGTATTTTGTGATAACATCAGATTTCTATATTGGAAAAATAAAATTTATCCCTTGAATTAAGAAATTGCAAAGCTGACAGCTTCCATTTACCATGCCTCCCAAACTGCAAGCTTTATCTTCATGGTAATGATTTGGAAGCATGGGTTTAGAAGAAGAGGCAACATTAAACTTAGAGACTATCTCTTGTTGCTGGTTTTTGTCACCCCAAAATGGCATGCTGCTTCAGTGTCATATCTGTGTCAAACAGCAGTGGATGTGCAGAGAGCCTAGGCGTCTTCACCCCATAAAGCTGGGGATTACTTCCAGTTCTCTCTCCCTCCTTCTCCCTCTTTCTCCCCATCTCCCTCTCTTTCCCTCCTTCAGATACCTCCAACACTTGTTTCAAAAGTTACTTGACAGGTTCTTTCAAAGACTTCTGGTTGATATTTTCTGTCTTTTAACAGGGCTTTAAAATCTTTATGTATTTCTTCACTTGGCTCAAGTGGAAGTAATATTCTAAGCCATATTTATTCTAAGCCATGGTCGATCTTCCTTTCCCAAAGATCTCTGCTGCAGTCTTATAGTCATCCTCACAGTAACTCTGTTTTGCTAGATGTCTTGGAAGAAAATCAGAGTCATGAGAAGGGTAGTTTCTCAAAGATATTGAAATATATGCTTGGGGACCCTTTCTCATTAAAAATATGGCATTTTTCTGATTTTTAAAAATATGAACCCCAAGTTTATGAGCTCAAAATAAAATTCCAGGCATGAGAATATGTGGAAAATTTGAGGCAATCAAATTTAGAGATTGCTTTTCTTCCTGCAATATAGATGAAAACGCTTTCCCTATTTTCCTTTGGTTCAAGCAGCAGTTTTATGTCATGATATTTTAGGTACTCCTTAAAGTTAATGTCATGTGATGCTTTTCACCAGAAAAATTCAATTGTTTAAAATATCTACGTCAGATTACTTCTCACAGTAGATTAATTCCAGTGAACAATGTACCATGCTTAAAAGCAGATCCAATTTTAAATAGATCGTCCTTTATATTTTCATATAACGACTTTTTTTTCTTATTCTTTGAACATATGTTCCCACTAGCATAAGATTCAAACTATTGTGGAATGAAAGTTTGCCCAGTTTTCTTTACCTTTAAATGTGATAAAAATCTGTAGCATTCCATGTGATAAAATGTCTATTGGTTAGTGATTAATGTCTTCGTAATGGCGGAAACTGGCAGAAAGAGTGTGGCTTCTAGAAATCCTAAAACCACCAATACTAGTAACAGCAACACCCTCCCAAAGCCACTGCTCTCTCTTGGTATCTGTTGAAGGCACTGCAGTCTGATGACTAGGAATTGTACAAATGCTATACCTGCTAGAGTATCCACTGGCAAGAAAAGCCCTAAAGACCAGCTTCCCAGGGTCTGTCTCTCGAGACCTAAGCTGGCTTCCCAGCATCTCTGACACCCCAGCCCTAGTTGTTTCTGCCCTGTTCCCCTTATAGGCCCTACTGCCTATCAGAGAAGCCCAGATACCTTCTTCTGAGTGGCATTTGGAATAACGGTTATATTTTCTCCATTATTTCATTTACCTGTCTAAAAAAATTCATCCAGTTTAACTGAAAGGAGGATCCAAGAACTGACTGTGGGCTCTACCACATCTGTGGGGTGTCCCATCTGATCCTAGTTCAGCAGTGCTATACAAACCTGTGACAAGCTCCTCCACAGCTTATTTAAGTGAACCGGTCCCCATTAAAATCCGCATTGACTCAAGAGTAGCTGGGCAACTGCTCTGGTAAGCTGACCCCCAAGAGCAGCATTTCTTGGGCAGGTACCTGGCAGCACTTGGTTTTGTTTTGGGGGCAGAGGTGGGATCGAGGGCCTCTCTCGCTGCTTTCCTCTGACCCTCCACCCCACCCTGCTCTGTGTTGGATGCTTCTTCGTGCTCTTTTGCTGGGCCTCAGCCCTCTCATGACTGCTTGGTAAATGTTGTGTATATCAGCTATTATGGTGTCATTGACAAATAACAGTTTCATAGCTTGCTTCGCAGCATGAAGGTAGTGGGTCATGTTTTGCCCTCTCTTGAAATATGATTTCCTTATGTTTTGTCTCATCCATTTGTGTCCCCTGATCCTTATAGAGTACCTGGTATATAAGAAGTATGCAATATGTGTTAATTGTGGTAGCATGTAATAGATATGATATAAACTTAATACATACATGTAATGTATTTGTTACAATGGAAGTTTAGAATTGGTTGGCATCCTGAAAATGATGTAGCAAGGAATAGAGTAATAACCATGCACTAAGAAGATTCAAGTCAATAATATTTTTCATGGAAGTCTTGAGCAAGTTTTAAAATTTTTACTTCATTGATGAAATATGACCTGATACCAAAACTACTGGTTTTAAAGGGCAGGGTGGGCAGGGAAGGGGGGAAGCCCAATCCTTTAATTGGTTATTGTTTTGTCACAAACAACCAGTATGACCAAAGCAGGACATCAGAAGGAAGCATGTCTGTGAATGAAATTGACATTCTGAATGGCTTTTTTTTTTTTTTTTTTGGTGGCTAATGGTACTGTGGGAGTTTGCTCATTTATCAAAAGGTTATGGAGCATAGTGCACAAGGGAATTGTGCATGTGTAGAGACCAGTATGTCTCTGTTTCCACAGTCTCCCATAGATAGAATATGCTTTTCTGTCTTTCAAAAGATAGAGCTCACTGGAATTGATACTATTAGCCTCAGGATTCTGGTACTCAAGCTGCAAGAAAATGAGAGGCCATTTGGTCCAAAACTAATTGACAGATGAGGAAACCAAGTCTCAGCTAAATTAAATAACTAGTCCAAGGTCACATAGCTCCTTCTTTGCTTCCGGAACTGGATGTCATCATCTGACTCCCAGCCCAGGGCTTCCTCCACTGTTCTGTGCTGCCCCTTTCATTGGCTTTTGTTTGCCAGAAGAGACTGGGAGGCAGGTAGTACCCAGGGAAAAGTTAATTTGGAAAGTAGGGTAGCAGACACTTGTCATCTGAAAGGAACTTAAAGTAGAAGAAAGTGAGTCATGCAGATAGAGGAGTTAAAAATACAGAGTTAAGCCTCTCAACACATCATGTGCACACTGTCATCTTTTCTCATGGAAGGAGAAAAGAAAAGAGAAAAAGTTGCTTTGCTCTGACCTGTAAGGAGTGTGTGCTGTGAAGTGTGGCAGGCACAAACCCGGGTGCCATAGACACCCGCTCACACCAGCTCTCAGCGCTGGCAGCGTGCCACAGATGGCAGAAGCTCCAGCACTTCTTACCTGATGGCGCCGGGTGGTGGTGACAACTGAGAAGGGCTGTTTCTAGCTTGAATCGGAGGAAAAAACAATTTAAAAAACACATTCTTAGAATGTGTCTAAGTTATTGACCACTAAGAAAGCTGCATAGGAAGCCCCGTAGGAGAAAGGGGCTTTTAACTGTCACTTTTTTTTACTTGGAGGAGAGTTATATAAAACCAAGGGTTTCCCCACCATCAACCATTTCATAGTTATACTGAGCCAAAATTAGCACTAAAAATGTATGGGTTCTTGCAGCCGAGGGACCCAAAGGCTGACTGTGGGTTGCCCTAGAGTCAGCAGCAGGAGAGGCCGGGGAGAGGACTCAGAGTGGGGCTCGCCTGTGCTGGACACAGTTGGGAGGGAGCCGGGCTGCCCTCTGGAGCATGTGCTCTTGGTGTGAGCTTCATGCGTGTCAGCACATTATTTGAATTTTGCATAATGACTGTCAACTTGAGATTAGGTAAAGTGTGCATTGGAAAAATATTTTTTAAAAAATGAGAGAGTCACATTACCAGGTTGCCCATTGATAAAGTTAATTGGAGAATAGTTAAAACAGAAGCCACTTGGGAACGGGTTTGTTCCAAAAGGAGTGAGGTGAAACATGATTCCTCTAATGGACAGGAGGAGTTTGTGAGGAGATGGCATGGGTGTTCAGAGGGCAGTGTGCAGGGCGACCGGGTCCTCCAGACCAGCGGAGGCGTGCCTGTTCCCCTGACTGCAATGCAGTTCTCACGCAAGATCAGAATCCAGTCTGTTCACAAAGGATGCGCCACTTGCAGCAGGGCCCAGAAATACCTACTGCGACATCTTGTTTATGTCATTCATCGTACAGTGCTATCTTAAGACAGGGAGGGGCATGACTGGCATTTGCAACAATCATCAGTGATTCATTTGGCCAAATGAGGACCATGGTATTAATCTTGCATGCTTTGGGGGCTGTTTTTAAAATGTCTGGTTTTGTGTTTTAGTTTCTGTTTTCTGAATTTCCCTTTTCTGCAGTTCTTGGTTTCTACCTCACTGAGTGCCGAGGATTTTAATCGTTGCTATCAAGGCTTCACAGCATGAAAAAACAATGCCTAAGGGCCCTTGTGGTCATTGAAATTGATGGGTTTTGTGTCTGAATGAGGTCTCCCAGGGGCGTCACTGGATTGAAGTAATACATTTCTCCTTTCTCCCCTGTAGCATTGAAAGCCGAAATGAGAAGAAAGCTGACTCAGGGAAAGGTGTTGACAGGGAGACTTGTCTATGACTGATCTTCAGTTTATTTTTTACATATATAAGAGAAGAGTGCCACAATTATTCATAAAACCGCTTTGATCATGTATTATAAATTCTGTCTTTCATCTCAAATCCACCTTCATACTGTAAGTAGTGCAATACTTGTTTCATTACTGTGTTTAAACTTCTGAACAGTGAGATACCCTTGTGAGCATATAGAAAAGCTAATGCAAGAATCTCTGTGTTCCTTGCTGTATTTTAGACATTTGTAAACACTAGATTCTCATTGTCAGTTTTATGAGAGCAATAGCTTTCTTAAAGAGATAAGTCATATTTACCTAGTTTGTATTTTCCTACTTAGGGACCTGAAGATACCTGATAATTTCATTCAGAAGAATTTTGGAAGGTAGTCTTACTTCTTTTTATTTTTTATAGCTTAGCATTAGTGACTTATTTCAAAATACCCAAATCAAAAAGTTAGTTTGAAAGCATTTTTAATAATTGTATTTATGCATTTCCTTGATTTAATATGATATTTAATACTTAAGAATTTATATGTAACTAAAACTTAAAGTCATTTTGAAAAATATATATGGAAACCTATTCACAACTTGTTTAAAAGAATCAGATACTAATGCAAAGAACCAAGTAGTATTTCCTTAATATTCAAGTTTTGATTACATGATCAAATACTAGGCTTGTATGAAATGCTTTAGAAAAACTTTGTAGGTTTTGTGAGATTTTCAATATAAATCTTTATCAGAAATATACTGTTAAATTTATCTCCCATTGAAACCAAGTCTTTTCCAAATAAGCCTATTATATACATACTTATGGAATGCCACGTGGTGAGTCATTGTATATGAAATTCCACTCCTGTACATTTATTCCACTGCTAAAGGTCATGGACTGCTTAATGCTGCTTCTGAATCATGTTCTAATGTTAGACTGACGGTCTCCAATTGTCTTTTTTTTTTCCTGCAGAGCTCTTTTCCACTTCTTAACTAAATGCATGTTGTAGAAAAATAATCTTTTAAATGAAAATCTCAGATTCTGTTTGAGAAGCTTCTATAGATATTTCAGTCTATATGAAATAATTCATCTTTACTAAGTTTATACAAGAGGAAGGAAAGTATAGAATTTTTGAGTAATGTGAATTAATAAAGATGAAATCTCATAGTGCTCTTGTTTCCTAAGAATTACCAATGATCATCAACCTTATAATCTTCAGTGTCTAGTTTTGCAATAATTCAGAGCCTTGTGGCTTTTCCAAACTATTTATTAATATTCTGAGTATAAATGTACATGAAAGTGAAAAAAAACCACAAATCTTCTGGTGATTAAGCTTATGAAGGAAATAAACAACAGAGCCTCCACTAGGTTCAACATTTTGATACCTTCTGTAATATTCCCCTTGTAATTTTTCAAGGAGCCATTTCTTCAATGGAGCATAAGCCTAAAAAATATAAAAAGAGTTTGTAGTTAATAAAGTCTGTGTTTATAAATGCCAAGGAAAAACTACAGAAACTTTCCATTCCAAATGCATTGCCTTTGTGTATTTTATAATACAGACACTAGATGTAAACATTCCCATTGTTTTATGAGTTAGACTAGCTGTACATGTCAGTCCCAAAAGCAGCCTTCTAGTGTTTTAATATATTAATAACTATTCTGTTTAAGATGATCATAGTGAATTAAAATCTTCACATGATCACCTATTTGAATAAGCACTCATACCCAATGAAATTCTGTATTTCTGAGTACTTTTATAGTCATTTTGTTCTTGTGTGAATTTTAATGCTATCCCTATGTTAATCTCAATATTTTGAAATCACATAAAATATAAGAAAAGCATAGTGTTATATATTTCCTCCTAATTTTAGATTTCTGGTCAAAATTATTGAATATCTTGACTGTAATTTATTGCAAAGTTTAAGTAATGTGTAAATGTGACTAGGATATTGTGTTTTTCACAACTAAGACATGTTATGTGGAAATAAATATTTATCCTTATTTCCTTGCACATTTTAAATTGTGATGCAAAGTGTCTTGTCTTTTTTTCCTTAGTGTTAATCAGTAAATCAATGTAGAACATTTTGAAAATAATATTTAAATTTAGACACAAGTTACGATGTCAAGAAAACTTGATGATGTAGATGTTTCAAGAGTATTCAATTTGAACTTCATGAACAAACTATGATGAGAGCTATATTAGGATGTACCTCTTCATTTTCCCGGAAAGCAGTGACTTAGATACAAATGACACTGTACTCTTTACTAGTAAAAACTTCCAAGATCATTAGTAAGGTTTCCCATCATTGAAACTCTTTAGACTTCTGTTTTTACCCCTCTTGGGAAAAGCATTTCTTAAAATTTTCATCTTCCTTATTTTTTACAGAAGGTCAGATGGTATTACCATTCTTTTATAGTGATCTGGCAATATTTTATGGAGGTAACTGCATTCAGGACTCCAATGTAATGGTTAGTAGTTTCTTCTTGACTTATGAATTGACTTTGTAATTGCTATCACTTAACAGCCTTCAATATTGGGAAGTTTTCTCCTAAATATAATTTGAATATCTCCTTGTTGTAGTTTAGCATGATAGAAATTCTCCACTGATGATTTGCTAGCAACTTGTATTTAAAGACAATCCCTAGATCTTTCAGGACTTTTCTTGGCTCTTAAATGTGTGGCTCAGTTTTTTTTTTTTTTCATCTTCACTCATCTACCTCTGTTGCTATTTAACTTTAGCCTGTTTGCTCTTAGATGTGGGACTATTTTACTATCATTGCAAGAATGCTCTCCAAATTTTCCAGTATATCTCTCTCACATATTCATACAGTGAAATGAGATTATAACCATTTGAAAAACTTATGAGTAATTTGGGTAATATGATGATTCACTGAATATCTACTTTGAAAGGTTAATTGTAATCAGTCCTCTTGAAGAAACCCAATGTTCAAGGATTACTCAAAATACTTTTAGAGAGATCCTTGGGTGTTTTTCTTAGAAAATTGTAGCTCATGGATACAACTGTCCCTTCATTACAGTTTCTATTGGTGTATTAGCCACTTCTTTCTGTGCTGGAACTTTGAAAATAGGACTGTGATCCTTTCTTCTAAGGGTAAGATAGACACATAGCTTTAACATAATGTGATGTATACAGAGTTGGTTGTACAGTGAAAGCAATGAATAACTCAAGGATGGAATTTTGAGTAGGGCAAACTTTGAAGAAAATGTTATATGAGGTAACATATGAATTAGGATGGTAATGGGGAAGGAAACCTACTCCAAGAACTGCAGTGATTCTCAAACATGTCAGTGTTGAAAACAATAAAATTTAAAAGTAAATATATATGGTAATACAGAAGCCTGACATACTTGATAATATAGGATTTTGGGAACTCAGCAGACAGCCCAAAATGGTGGAATGTTAAGGAGACAAGTGGAGACCCATATGAAAAGGTAGGAACACAAGTTGGAGACATTATAAATGTTGTTAAATTCTATATTAGGATATTTCAACTTTATCCATTAAGCGTTTTGAGTAATGAAGAGGCATGCATTTTGGGAAAGGTTAGTCTGGCAGCATGATTGGAAACATAATGGGGAAAAAGTGAATCCTGTACCCAGGGTGACTGTCAGAGACTCAAACCAAACTATCAGTGGTCTATAAACGTATCTTATGATTGAAGCCAAACAGGCTGAAGCATATTCTGTAGGCACTTAATAAGTAACTCCAGGCACAAGAACTTCATGATACATCCTTTCACATAGAGTATTCCTTTATATAATGTGTTTGGGGTTGTATTTTTTAAAAATGTTCAGAAAAACATGGTATCAACAGTAATCCTGAGACAATTTAAAAAATCTAAGTGTGCAACAAAATTCAGCCAGCGGCTGGCTCATGTGAGTCCAGAAACCACCTTCCCCACTGCTTACCTTTTGATCCCACATTCCTCATCCACTCTTCCCATAGACTTAGCTTTGGATTTATGTATTTTTACCTTCTGGTGTGTGTAGAGTTATAGATTTCTTCCATTTGCTTATAAGGTCTCTAAAGGTAACAATAGTGTTTTATCCCTTCTTAGTAATTCTCTAGAACCTAGCTCTTCCTGTTCTTTGCTGTTTATTCAGCCAGCAAAGGCAGTAGACAGACTTGTAAGTAAAATACATCAGAAGATGTGGCTTCTTAGTTTATTAAGAATGATTAAAGCTCCACAAAGGATTCTCACTGACATGGCAGCACTGGAAGAAAAGCAAATGCTCATTAAGAAACTTCATGTGCCCTACTCCTGCGGACACAAGACACCTATGGGGAGAACTGGTGTAAACCATGAAATCATCAAACCAGGCATAGTGCATAAATCTTCACAACAATGCGATTGTTATGGAAGGTAGGCATTCTAGTATCTCTTTCAAATTAAGTAGCTGGGGTTCAAAGAGGCTAAGTAATATTCTTTAAAATGTTCCTCACTGTGAGTGTCCATGCTGAGACTGAAAACCACGTGTCTAGCCTAGACTGGAGTGCACTGACCGCCCAGCAGGAGGCGCGATGTGACCGCCTTCCGCCTTAACCGGACAGTCATTCAGGTTCATGCAACCAGCACCGCGTTGAATAATATTTCTTCAATATGTTACATTTTACTTGTCACTCATCTTTCTGCGGTTAACACAGGAAGCCAAACCTAATCAATGAAAATACTTTTTTCCTCCCAAGTCACAAATATTATGACTTGGGATGTGGTCAGTTGCTCAGCCATATCTGGCTCTTTGCAGCCCATGGACTGTAGCCCGCCAGGCTCCTCTGTCCATGGAACTCTCCAGGCAAGAACACTGGAGTGGGGTGCCATTTCCTACTCCAGGGGATCTTCCTGACCCAGGGATCAAACTCGTGTCTCTTGAGTATGCAAAGGAACACACTTAACATGGAATGGGACACACAGCCCTACAGAGGGTTTAGAGGACTCACACAAGAGACGGGGCACATCTGCCAGAAAGTTCAACAAACAAGGTCAGAGGATACTTTAGAAAATCCAATAACCCTATGACTAGGGGTGAGTTAAGCACCGTAAGTCAGCATAACCCTGCCATGCACAGGCAAAATTTATTAGAATAACTATAGAGTTTTTGTTGTTTAAGTCACACTTTTCATCATACATGCATTTTAAATAATCTGACCAACTTGGGGTGACTGTTCAGATGAAAGATTATTTAGAATAAGAATTTTGATTGAGTTTACTGGAGATTAATTCCAGAAAAACCATTGTCAATTTAGCAGTAAGAAAATTACCTTTCTTTTTATTAACTCAAAGTTTTGAGTTTAAATCTTAATCCTGTCACAGAAAGGTAGCATCAGAAAGATGATACATTTTTGAGCATGACATTGGTCTTATTAATACCGTGCTCTGAGCTTTCCTTACGGGTGGTGATGTTACACTTTACTACTCACACTCATCTCTCACTTTCAACCATCTGTATCCCTCAGACATATCCTGAATACACACTCCAGATCTTTCAGGATGTATATAGAAATGCTCTCGGACACTGCTGAAAGAACAGTCACAAAATTGGAAACACAAGATTCTCTTACTTTACTCTGAAGAAACCCATTCTTTTTTTTTTTTTTTTTTCATTTGTTGTTCATTCGCTCAATTGTGTCTGACTCTGTGACCCCAGCACACTAGGCTTCCCGGTCCTTCATTATCTCTCAGAGTTTGCTCAAACTCATGTGCATTGAGTCGGTGATGCCATCCAGCCATCTCACCCTCTGTCGCCCCCTTCTCCTTGTGCCCACCATCTTTTCCAGCATCAGGGTCTTTTCCAATGAGTTGGCTCTTTGCATCAGGTGGCCAAAATATTGGAGCTTCAACTTCAGCATCAGACCTTCCAGTGAATAATCAGTGTTGATTTCCTTTAGGATTGACTGATTTTTTTTTTCATTTAGAGATTATTCAATCTTAAATATTGTACAAATGTCATAGTTTTATAAATTGGAATGCTCACATCAACTTGGCAAAAACAACAAATGCCAAATGGTGAAACTGGCAGCCTTAGTGACCACCTGCAGGTAAGAAACACTCAGAATGACATACCGCCTGATGTGATCCCTGGGCTTCATGGTGGTGGCCTGGAGTCATCAGGATGCACCAAATTATGGTCTTTGCCAGTTATTTAAGAAAGTTTGAAGGTATGTAATCATTTTTAGCAAAGTTTACAACAAAAAAAGTTCAAAAATAATTTTAAAAGTGATTTTCTAAAAATCTTGGTCAAAACTTTAAGAAGAAACACTGTATCCATAGAAGAGATGTGACCATTTCTTCCTTCGTTTGGGATGTGCACTCCTGGGTGCTGCTGCGGTCTAGCAGGTTGCTTAGGAAGGCATCTTATCATCCAGGTACCTGCGGAGGCTGCAACAGTTAAAGGCAAGCAAGTCTGCACATCTTACTGGCATGACTAGTTCTGTGTTTTTCAAATATACCCTCAGATTGTCTGTCTCTTATTTGTCAATTTAACTTCCTTTCCCAAAAAACTCATCTAAAACTCTTACTGGAGAGTAAAACTGTCTTATGAGGGTCAGATGAAATTTACTTTAACTTCAAGCACATTATCACCATTTGTAACTCTCATTATGTGAAAAATATGTGCTGGGATTTTTTTAATTATCTCTGGACTCCATAGAAAACATGGAACATGTTTTGAAACTAAAGAAACAATAAATTCATAGAATTTTGATATTGTTCAATACTTATACACTATCAGATATTATGCAATGGTCTTAATATCTGTATAGCATCTAATATTATACAATATCTACTGTTGTAAAATGGTCTTATTAGTATCTAAACAATATCTGATATTGTACTATATCTGGTTTCAATTAACATAAAAGGAGAATTTCAACTTACTTTGCTTTTCTGATTACTAAATTCAGTCTGGGATGTGAACATGTAACCTATGATTTCTGTTTCTGGATACAGAACTCTACAAAGATTGGTCTCTCTACTCAAAATGAATGAACTCTTATTATCAGAATTATGACAAGAACCCTATAGGTTTGAAGGTTGACTTATGGTTCCAAATGAATGAATAATATATGAGGCTTAATTAAGGAGAAACCACTCAATTCTATGTCCTGAAAATACAGTTGAAACAATTTCAGAATCTTCTGTCCATTCCTATGCATGACTCACCAGTCTCATATTGAACTGATAAATTTTTTTCCAATTCTTCTATTTTTATACTTTTATGCTGTAGCTCATCCTGTCTGGGACAACTTTTTCTAACTATGTTTGGGTTTATAAAATCAATTGTTAAAAATGAGGCCGTTTTACAAATAATTGAACAAAAATATTATGTGTTCTCATTTATCAAGACTTTACTTTGCTAGGCTAAATTCAGCATCTTAAATCTATGATTTCATTAATATAGTTATGTCAACCGAAAATAATTAGTTAAACACTTAAGTTGTTGACTTTTTTAAACTTCCACTAAGCCACCTGGGCTATCAAGATGATATTTTTGATATTATGTGCCTCATCATAGTTCCCTGGAATGAAATTATAAATTATATACTACATAAATAACCAAAATTATTTTATGTTGACTTTTTACTTTTTTAAGTTGACTTTTTAAAAGCTTATATATGATAACAGAAATTGTATATATAGAGATATTAGATTAAAACCCTATGAACTGCTTAATTTAGCACATTTCTTTGTATCTATTTCTTACAAAAGCTGAACCCTGTCCATGTTTACAAGGCAGTTTGGGATAAAAAGCAAAATAAACAAGAGCCTTTCTGGGTAAGCATGTCCATATGCCAATACAGTTTAGGTCTGATTCAAGACACAAAACACCTCTGAAAAAAATGAAGGCATATTTATTACTGACCAGGAGAAATTCCACAGTATATAGAATGGGAATCATATTATATACATTTGTAGCTTATTTTCAATTTTTAAAAACAAGTCCAAGAAAGTTAAAATATTCTTTTAATTAGATGCTCAAAGAAATGCAGTAAGAAAAACTGATGCAAAGACTCCTTCAAGTTAGGATTTGCAATACAAATATTTTCATATCTTAACAGGGCAAGCTGATGTGTTCACATCTCCCTTCCAAGCTGCTTCTCTCACTGGGAAACATCAGTATTTTTAAAGCACATTTACAATGCTTTCCCATCACCCTCGCTGTGTTTTCGTAGCACCTATAGCCATAACTGGCACCTGGGGGCCTTGCATTGTTGGCAGTTTCCCTCTCATTTCTTTGGAGTCTATTCAACTGCTGTGGTTTTACTCAGAAGTCAGTGCTTTGCATATATGATTTCCTGAGACTGTTTGAATGGTCTTTCTCAGAAAACTGTGCCAGTCTGGCTGAGAACAGCTCTTCTCTGAGGAGCTGACAGTAGCCTGGTTGGGTCAGCAGGCTTGGACTGGGGTTCACAGCCTTACCCCGCCAGCTTCTCTCCCTAACCCCTCTTTTCTTGCCCCTGCCTCAGTGACATCACTGCCCACATCCTGCCATTCCTTCAAAGAAGAGAACAAGATATGGACTAGTCCAGTTAGAAAATAATGCTGCTCAGGGAACCTCTGCAAAGCTCCATAAAAACAATTCTTAGTTGCTGTTTCACCAGCTGATGTGGAAATTATTTTAAATAATAATAAAAAAAAAACAGACTGAAATTTCCATAAGGTAAGTCTCTTGCAAAGACAGAAGTCCCTATTTCAGGTTATATGGGAACAAGGTAAACTTATATTTCTTGATTTGAGTGTATTTTTTTAAGGCATCATCCTGACAGTGCAGTTTTGAGATAATGAGAGCAAAAGTAGCTTTTCACAAGCTTTAAATGGCATGCCGTTCTGAGGTGCTAAAGTAGAGAGAAGCATTGTTTTAGGAAGTGGCTCATGTGGGTGTATATGTGTTGGTGTGCTGTGCTGCTGGCGATCCCATGGTCTTCATCTGTATACCACTGGAGAGACAAAAGAGAGAGGTCAGGATTAGGAAGTCAGTTGCCTTTTTTTAAAAATCCAGATGAGTTCTCATGAGCATACATGGAATAACACACAATGTTTTAACTCCTCAATCAGTCTGTAAACTGAAACATGATCAAACAGGTTTTCTTACCACCCGCCCCACCCTCCCTACCCGGCCCAGACCTTTTCCAAGACATGCAGCTCTGTCTTGCAGGAGTCTCTGATTGTCCTCGGTAAGTGCTGAGACAACTCACCATGAGTTTGACTTCACTGCACACTGCTTTAAGGATATGTATATTACAATGAAAATATCTAAGTCCATTTTCAAATTTGACTCAAAGGACACTTAGAAACTCATCATGCATAGGATGGAATGTTTATCCCATAAAGCCCACTTCAATTAAGTGTTATCAACTGTTAAGTTTCCCCTCCACTACAGTAAAAAAAAACTATTAAATGTTTTTAAAAAGCAATTTTTCCTAATGTATATCACTAAGGAACTAGAAAAATCTACTTCAGTATTCCATATATATGTTTAGCATAAGTGAAGTCAAAAATCAAATGTATTATTTTCAAACACGTAAGATTTTTCACTGGAATTTCTTATCTGTATATCTGACATTTATGTAGGAAGAGTTGATGACCCGAGGCAAAAATTTATCAACTCATACCACCATGTTAAACAAGTGGGGAGTCACTGCCAGGAAAACATATATCATGGAGACATAAATTAACTTTCAAAAATTGCTTAAAGTATCATGTCTTTTCTTTGAACAGTGGAAATATACACCACAACCTCATAAGAATCTAAGCCCCCAAATATATGCCATGCTTTTTGGTATCAAATGACTGTCCCACTTTTAAATACAGTAGGTACTGATTGAACTGAGCACAGAGCAAAGTGTGTATGTTAAAAAAGAGTGAGGGGAAGCAGGCTATTAAAGCTAATACAGACAAGAAAGCTCTTAACACAAAAATATTTAGTGCAACACACACATATAATCTTTTTTTTCTCTTAATCTGAAAAGATCTAGTACATAAAATGAATTTTGCTTAATACCTAGAAACATCCTCTGAACAGGCAACAGCAACTCTCTAGCCATTTCTGACTTTATAAACCCAGCCTAATTGTTTATTACCTGTAGTTGCTCAACAAAAGATAACATGGAAGTTGCAAAAACTGAAAACTTGCTGATTATTATACCTCACCTTTGTTAGAAGGGCTAGTAACACATACTAGAGATGGATTTTCATATTTGAGCTGAGCGATTATCATGCTGCTTTCACTTTAGAATTACTTCGCCACACTTTTCACTGGGTAAGTGATTACTTTTGAGTCAAATTAGGGAGAGACGGGACAGTCATAGGGCTAGAAGAGCAATCACAAGACTAGGGATCTGACACTCACAAGATATGCAATATTTTGCTTTTCAACCCCTAACTGATATTGAACATGACTGTGTTTCTGGCTCAAGTATATCACTTCTTCAACTTCTTACTGGAAAAATAAGACTCTTTTTTGCTTTTGTCCCTTTCTCCTGGGACCTTGATGAGAGAAGTAATCATGAGAGGGGAACCAGACCCCACCAGGAAGTTCCTTCCCCTTGCAGGAGGCTTTGCTATATACCATTGACTGGAAATCCACTCCAGCATCCACCAGGGCTCTGGTGATCTGAGCTGACTGCTGAAAGTGAACGTTATCTGCAGGGAGAGAAAGGAAACAGAAAGTAACTAATAGCTGCTCCACTTTTCTGGTAGGAAAAGGCACAAGAAGAAAGGGGGCTGTCTGAAGTTCTAGGACTCAGCATCCCATTTATCCCAAGACAAGTGAGTTGTGGAAAGCAACACTGTTTTATTGAAGTAAATGTAACAGTCTTGCCCCTCATGCTTTTGTTTTGTCAGTAGTGAAATTGCAAACCTGTCTGTGATACTAAAAAGTCTAATTAACTGAAACTCACCATCTGCTGTTCCATGAATAAGGAGGTACTCAACTTGTTTAAAATTTTCAGCTCTGCTCATGACTGTTGAATTCTGGAATTGGGAAAAAGAATGTCATTATTCAAAAAAAGATCTGCCATAAACTGATTTTTCACTTCAGTTTACAAAATAAAATGTTTTCAGCTGGGGCCCCCTTTGATACAAAATATAGCAAACCGATATTCAAGCAAATGCTGTCTCCATGCAAGGCAGAATGCACAGCATGCCCTGTGATTGGGAGAAGGACTGGAAAGTGAGACTGCCACATCTTCCCTGCACATGCAGAAGAGGGCCCCTGCCACCCAGGCCTCATGCAAAAGCCCTCGGGTCCCAGATCCCAGGTTGGCTGGGTCCTCGGCATTAGCACAGGGCAGAGTCTCATATTAGCAATGTATGTTCCATGGGCTTATGCTGTAGTTCAGCCAAAAAGTGTATTGCCATGGCAACCATGTGTCACATGGTGCCATACATGCTACATTTCAAAGAGCCTGTACATAGCATTTGCAACTAAACATACTCTGCAATATGTCATATGAACTTTGGTCCACATTGCTAGGCTCTGAATGAGAAGCAGGCATTACCTTTTTTGAAACAGATGTTTGAAACCTAGGCAAATGTAACATATGGGAGGGTAGGTGGGGACAAAGATCAAATATGGCCTTAGAAAATCAGTGGCTGGTTGTCTGCCTCATTCTGTCTTCAGGAGAATGTCACTATTGGACCAAGCCAGGTAATTAGGAGAAAAAATTGGGAGGTCAGCTTTTTGAAGGCTGCTTCATAACCTTAGGAAGGACTTCTAAAATGAGACTGGGGTCTCAAATGAAAATGCTTTGAAAGTATGGAATTAGTCATCTGGTCTTAATTTGGAGATGTTTGCAGAGCTGGGATGAAGGTAAAAATGTCACAGACATTGTGGTGACTTTGGGAAGGCGTGAGCTGGAGCCTACTTTTGTTGTCTCATTATGAGTTGGGCAGAGGAACGGCCATTAGTCTCCCAACAGATTTCAAATCAGTCAACTTGTCCTGCAGCATCTTGGTGAATCAAGTCAACTTTATGAGAGGCAAGGTTTATATTTCACAGATATCTTTGTAGCTAACATCAGGATGGGAACCCTGAAGGTCTGGCAGGAAGAGGATGGGGCTATGGTCCGAGTGGTTGTGTTCTAGCTCCAGCTTCAATATCAGTGAACTATGCACCAGGAGACATGCTGCAGAGCACTGTTATGTTTGAAATGGGAGGAAGATTAACTCCTCTTACTGTTACTGAAATAGGAATCAAGAGACGTGGCTTTTATTAAGTTTAGATTACTGATACTGATGTCAGGATGCTGTAACAGTGTTTCTGGAAAAAAGACATTCTGTCTACAGCTTTCAGGACAAAGTCACCCAACATGTTTGCATTGACAAAGTGATCTTGTCCCGGAAAACAGTGCAAAGGCCCTCTTCCTCTGTGCAGGCTGGGTCCCACTTGTCCTGACCATTCGCTATTTCTGACCCAAATTGAGAATTTACCCACAAACTTTCAGAATAAACATCTAGGACTCATTAAAAGTCACACTCTTATTTTACTTTACTCTTAGGGAAATGTGTTATCTGGTGAGATGTCCCAGATGAATTCATCCATTCATTTATCTGTTCATCCATCCCAATGTTACTCCATCCATTCTTCTATCCATTCATGTATTCATTTTCAGTCAATGTTTGTTTGTTATAAACCCAACTAAACAATAAACTCCATGAGAAAAGGAATTTGTCTATATTGTTCATTATTCTGAGCATCTAATACAGTGCTTAATATCAATTAAAGGGATAAATGAAAGAAAGATAACCACTTATATTGTCCTGTTCACTATGCTCCATCCTAATTTTGCAGAGGCAAGTGGGAACAGCTAGGGGAAGTGAAATAAAATATTCTCATTCTGAAATTTACCGAAATATGCTTTGCCCACTTTAAATCCATACACAATGCCATTAGTAATAACAGCTGACATTTACTATGTACTCTGTGCAAGTCACTCTGCTAAGCATCTTAAAGGATTTATCAAAGCACCGCTCTATTTAATCCTCAGGACGTTCCTATGAGATAGGTCTATTAATAGCAATCCCACTTCTACATGGAGACAGTCAAGTGCACCAGGTTACAGGAGGAAATCTGAGCTGGACAGAAAGTCTTGACGGTAGAACCTCTTTTACCTCCTAAGTTGCACTAAGTCTCCAATAAAGTTCCAAGCTATTTCTGATCTTCCAGCAAAAATACAGGAGGAAAGAAATTGTTAGTGAACTGTCCTGCGATTTGCAGTAAACAGACACACGGGGTATTCTTTGCTCCTGCGTGCTCACGGCCTTCTTAGCATTCATCCCAAGAGAGCATTCATTGGAAGAGAGCACGCTTGCACGGCCCTGCGAGATTTATGAGGCATTTTTGGACTGTGTGGCTGATGCAGCGCCTATCGCAGCAATGGAACCCTGAGCGATGTTCTGCCCCGGAGAGAGGAAAGGGTCAAAATCAATCTACCAAAAAGGCCAGTGTAGGATTCAAAACTGGGGACAGCAGAGTCTGGGGCGGACACACCGACAGTGAACACTGACAGTCGGAGGGAGCCTCAGGCCCGGGCACCCGAGTCCGTCCTCCTGCGCCTGCGCAGTTGTTCTCCCCACGAGAAGCAAGTTCTTCACTTGCCAAAGATGGTCACCTTTAACACCTAGACCTGACCCAAATATACAGCTGTGTCACCTCCCCCCGCCCCCCACCTCTAAAAGCCTCCCAGGGCTTCCTTGCTTGGCAGAGTGCGGAGCAAAAGCTACTTCACAACCTCCCTGAGCCATAAAACTGAGAAATGTCATTGAAACATAGAGTAATAGTTAGGAGACATATAAATACGCAGGACAGTTAGCAAGGAATGTGATAACTACTGGAGTTTGGACCAAAACAGTTTCTGGCTGCCTTTTTTTTTTCTTAAATGGAGTGAATACAGGCTGAAAGAAGACAATTTTTATAAACAAGTAAAACCCTGAGCCTAAGATAAATGTTGTGATGTACACACTGTAGCTGTGATGAACTAGACATGGTGAGAAATGCAACATACTGAGAAAAAGACGAAAACTGTGATAAAAGTGTCATGATGCAAATTGTTTTACATTAACAATATTACACTACAAAGAAAGAAAGACAAATACTTTAATGCAGCAAGCGAAAAATAAAACAAAGGCTTCCCCTGCAACCACAAGATAAGAGTGTCATTTCCAATGTGCACGTCCCCCTGTTCGCTGGGAGATGCATCAAGAGGGACCTCTCAGTGCGTGGGAGCCAGGCAGCCTCAGGCACACACCCATTTCAAGGCTCTTGGGCAGCTGAGAACATGTTCCCCCCCGGGGGAAAGATGCAGCTGTGTCCCCCTGCCTCCGGAACCACTGATCCTTCCATACCAGACTGAGCATCCTGGCTTCTCCAAAGAGAAAGACTCCTGACAGCCCGCTGTATGGCACAGTTTAATCAGTGAAGGGCAGCGGCCAAAGCCAGTGAAAGAAATGCAGGCGCTAATTTAAGGGAGAATTAATGACCAGAAATAATTTAATTGTGCTAATTCAATCCACCAAAATAGGATAATCCCCACTTGCCTATCGATGGAAACAGAAATAAAAAAGGAAATGGATGACTAAGTTAGAAGCCGAATAGTCTGTCACCAGCTCCTAAAAAGGAAGCTTAGAGTGATAAATGGGCAGGGATGCAATGGTGGTGCAGTTGGCACTCTCCCGAGGCTAGAAACTTCCGGAGAGCCCCGCTGCCAGCAACAGCCTGGCAAAGCGAAGTGGGAAGGACTGGACCAGTGGCAATGCCGATCCTCAGCATCTCTGCGAGGAGCTTTTCCTTCAAGCCCCAAGAAGAACCATCTGTAGCTGCTCGTTGGATCATGCTGGTTCTTCAGTTACCTTCCAACAAATAAATCTTTGTATTTTTGAAATAAAAGAGAGAGCTGATAAGAGTGGGGAAGTACTGTGAGAAACAGAAGGTCTAACAATTTTTAAGCTACCCCTTGTGCCATCCAGGAACCAGAAGGACAATTTGCTTCCCAAGGATAATGGTGGCAGCTGCCATGGTTTTGAAAGCTTACTTCATGGCAGGCTCAGGTGTCTCCTTTAATCCTTTCAATAACCTCATGAGACAGGTCTGATTGTCACCGCCACAGATGAGGAAACAGCAGTTCACAGGGATTCAGTAACCTCTCCAAGCAAATAGATGGTGGAAACAGAATTTGAGCACAGGTCAAACTCAAAAGTCCTCACCTCTTAACATCATATTCTAACGTCCCTTTACTTCACAGCCAAATTACTCATCGTTACCTGGTAGAAAGAGCAGCCACTGGTCTAATGGACAACCCATTACTTCAGTGAGAGAGCACCCTCAGTGTACTGACTTGCCCTGCGCGTTCTCCCACTTGCCGTCAAAGCCTCATAAATAATATTAAATGAAGCTATTTAAGGAAGCACCATTCATGCCACAACAGAGGCCACAAAAAAATGTTAAGAAAAAATTAATTCAACCCAGCATATCAGATGTTTTACTAGTTCACATCAATCAAACAACTGTACCAAGGGAACAGTCCCCATCCGCCGACAGGGGGCCCTACCTCAGGCCTCACTGAGCAACACTGGCTTCTTTAAAGATCACACAGCAGTCAACATTTTATCAGCACTCAACAAACAACTTAAGGTTTGGCTTAAATCTGAAGGTCTCTCTCCCTTTGGCATATTCTGGGATAATAGAACAAATGTCAAATCAGTACAAGATGGCATATTTACAAAATTGCACCCTGTTTTGCATAACCTAACGATGCAGCAGTTCTTAAGGATTGAACATTTCAAATCTGCTAGCAGAAGACTGCCAAATCTATGACTGTTTCGTACACTTGCCAAAAGCCTATCAAATTCTGAGCAAAATGCAAAATAAATCTCCTCTACAAGTTAAATCAGTCCCTTCTGTGTGTTCCAGGCTGCCCTCTTCTCTTGGCAACGAGGCCCAGGACTTGGGCCTCATTTCTCTTGCCCTTGATCTG